GGGTAACGCCTTCTAGAAATTTCTCTCCTTTCCTTTTCTCTTTTTGTGTTTCAATAATTGAACTCAAGAACAAAAACAAAGTTGGAACAGAAAGTGAGAAATTAGCGGAAATGATTAAGCTTGTAATAATAATTTATAGCACGCGTTCACATACTATGTAGAACAAACCCTTGATATATAAATATATGTATACATATATACATACATATATGTGTATGTATGTGTAGTCGTGTGTAGTCGTGCGCGCACACATATAGGGTGTTTGTGTATATCTTGGCTGTCTGAAATAATTTTTATTACGTTTGATGATACAAAAAGAGTCTGAAGAAAAAGTTGCACTGGTCAAGGAAGCAAATACGATAATAGGAATATTTTTCCTCAAGGTCTCTCAAAGGTACTTCAAGGTCAAGTTCGTTTTTCTTTTTTCTAATGGAACGATATATTTTGTACAATATATACAATTTTGTAGTCGGCATCGAATGGATTTCGACGATATGATCTACAGATGATTTTCAACATGGAAAACACAGAATTTGAAACTTCACATCTTCAAACGTTAGGTTCCTGCTCAGAGATCCAAAGTATCGAAGCTGCTAATGTTAAGAACCAATTTCGTATTTACTCGAGTGTACTTTCGAGTTCCTGACGTTCTGCGTATTCAAATGTCCAAATATTCACTCTAGAAAATAACATTACTCAAGTATATAACGCCTCGAAGCTTCAGCTGTGACCTGTAATCCTAACGAGAAGTGTGAAATCATGCCAACCACAAAAACATGAAGATGACTTGATCATTTGCTCATTCACTTGACGTCGATGTCGATCATAAAAATCCGCGGGAGAGCAGACAAGCGCTGTGCGAGGAAGTTCACACCGGCGCGACGTCTCTCGTCTCGTCTCAGAAAGCGTCGCTGCGGGCCGGCGCTTAGCTGTGCCAGAGGGACAATAATGCGGTTAGGTCCGAGAGGGGTCAGGACTTTCTACGCGGAGGAAGAGTGGCCCCGAGTTTAGTGTACCACGAAGAAGCACCGTTAGGACACTAAACTTTTATTGCGACCCGTTTTCCATATCCTCGTGCTCGTAGCTCTAAGTACGTACACGCGCGCATCGGCTCTCCCTTCCCCCCCCTCCCCTCCTCCTCCTTCATGTTCCGTAGATGCGCGAGACGTTCTTCCTCAGTTTATAATCGCACCGATATGTTTCACCTCCGAACGTCCACCTGTCCACCAAAGCATGCTTCCCGTTCCCGAATGAGCTCCGACGAGAAAGTCGCGGCTTTTATCACGACCTGTTGGTCCCTCGTGTGTTTTCGAGGAAACGCACCGTACCTGCCTGCCATGTACGCTCGCTTCTTCCCAGAGTCACCTCGGGAATTATTACATCACCATCGGGCGTCTCGCGGACGCGAGGTAAGCAAGTCAATGAAGTGACGACGAAACGTCCTCATTCAACATCGCCCTGTCTTGGCGATGGCGAGAAAAAGTTTGGCTCTGACGAATTTTCCTTCTCTTTTTTAACTCCAATTATATTGCCACCTGTCCTCACCAGGACACCTTGCACTCTTTGGATACAGCAAAGGACTTGAGTGGGGACGCAAACTTTGAGTCGCACTCAACACTGCCTATGCACTATGTTGCTCAGGTCCTATGGGATTTTTCTTTTTAATCTTCTGATAGGCTGTTGGTCATCGGATCAGTCACAAGAGAGGGGGGATGGTCTTTCAATCCATCTTTGTAAGTAGAGGCGAACCTTTCGATTTCTTCCCTTCCCTGGGAAAACGGGATTTCAAGTGCAATGTTTCGTTAGTTAGGAGCACCAGGGTGAGTCTGCAATTATTCTAAGCATTTTTGACTGGCTGACGAAAATAGCATAAATAATAATTGCACGACCACCACTCACACCGACTCAGGCTGTCACGTCCAATGCTTAACAAATGATTTGCTTTCGTTGCGTTTGCAGAGCAAATCGCAAACAGAGACGCAACTCAGACGATTCTTCTCACTCACAGTTCATGAGGCATCGATTAAAATATATCCAAGTTTCTCTGAATAAGTTACAAATGATATCTTGGATATCTGCAGCATCTCAGCAATCTTTCTCGTGGTGATGCGCTGTTTATTCTCGGCTAAGGCGACAATTCAGTTGTCATCAATCCCCGAGATCACTTCCCGAACGTGGAACGTTTTTGAAAGAGGAATCTTCTGCTCGAAATTCGACGAAGCACTTTTACACTTTTACATATTTGCAGCACTGTCTTCGTAATCTATCTTTGCGTTACTTTGCGTTTTTCACCATGATAAAAATATGCAAAATGGCGAAAATGTACAATATTTTCATTTTCGATATAGCTTGATTCTGCCTACGTCATTCAACGAATCTGCACAATATTTTTTCCTTAATACAAGAAAAATGTCACGTCTCAGGATCAAACGAAATTTATAAATCAAGAATGATAATATCTCAAGTACTAGTTTCCAACATCATCCATTCGCAAAATTTGAATAAACTTTTTAACCAATCCAATGAAACGAATTTGGTTCGTTCATTGCGACGTTAATATAGCCAATCTTTTGTTTTTTTATAATAACCTTTACTTACGGAAAATTTTTTTAGTACACATAAGTAACGCAGACAGACAAAAATAAGAATAAATTCATAAGTACGTAAGTACGAGACGAATATATAAATAAATAAAATGTGACAGAAACGTGTTTCAGAGTAAAAAAGTAAGGAAAAAATGAGAAACCTCCGTTTAGCTCCGTGCACTGTATCTCATTTCAAGATTCAAGGAGAGTTCTTCATTCAATAATTATATAAACAATTCAGGGACTCATGTAGCGTTCAGAGCCTCGAGAGGAGTAACAAGGTTATTTACGAAACACACCCGAAACCAGCCTTCTTTCAATTTCTCACACGAGGATCTCTCTCGCGTAAACCAACGGCGGATACGCGCGAGCATCGTCGGATGCGTACAGAGTCGGGAAACCTCGTATTATTGTACGATTACAAGAAGCGGAAGGGAGAAGAAACGTCCAGCGCAAGAGACACACACACCGTGGTTCCCCTCGGGAAGCAGCAATACCGAAGATGCCTCGCAATCTCGCGTGTCTCGAAGAGCGGCGAATGTTAATGCAGTCGCCCACCGGACAGTACAATTTCAACGGACGTAAGACACCACAGGAGCCCGTAATTGTGCCTCACGGCGAGCACGGCCTCGCGGTGTTCATTATCGCTACGTTATTGCGAAAGTTCACTATTATTGCCTATAAATAGCAACGAGCTATCCATGTTAATCAGTGCTCGCGCAAGCGCGCGCGCATGGCCACGGGGTGGCCGCCGACGCGCCGCGCTCTCTCTCTCTTTCCCCCTCTCTCTCTCTCTCTCTCTCTCTCTCTCTCTCTCTCTCTCTCTCTCTCTCTCTCTCTCTCTCTCTCTCTCTCTCTCTCTCTCTCCCTCTCTCCCCCCTCTCTCTTTCTCTCTCTCTCGTAACATATGCCGTTGCATCGCGCAAAAAACACGCTATTATTGTCTATAGTCGGAGTAGGCGCGAGCGAGAGGGCCGCCGTTAATCGACGAGCGGCTGAAAACAGTGGGCGACGCGGCCCGATATACCAAGCGCGATGCACCAAAATAATCAGCCGCTCGGCCGATGGGAGCGTCAGACGAGAAGAGAGAGAGAGAGAGAGAGAGAGGAACGACTGCGAGACTGCGACTACGACTGCGACTGCAACCGCGACGACGACAACGACGACGACGACGGCGGCGAGAGGGCACGGGGGAGAGACGGAAGATAGCTGGCATCTACGAACCTATAAACACACGACTTGCTGTACGCACACGTACGAAGAGAGAGAGAGAGAGAGAGAGAGAGAGAGAGAGAGAGAGAGAGAGAGAGAGACAGAGAGAGAGAGGAAACAGATAGATGGACGGAGATAAAGAACGAGAGGGAGAGAAAGAGAGAGAAAGAATGAGAGGGGGAGAGAGAGAGAGAGAGAGAGAGAGAGAGAGAGAGAGAGAGGAGACAGATAGATAGACGGAGATAAAGAGAGAGAAAGAATGAGAGGGGAAGAGAGAGGGGGAGAGGGGGAGAGAGGGGGGAGAGAGAGAGAGAGAGAGAGATCGAACGGACGGGCAGCAGCAGCAACAGCAGCAGACACGGTCGTCGGTCGCGTAACCGCGGTACAACGACCCCCGTGAGCTCTCTTCTGCTCGAGCTCCGACTGCAGCTCCGCCGCTAATTACAACGCTCCCTCGAAGCGGGAAGCTGTCACGAATGCAACGGGATGGCGGCAACGACGACGACGACGACGACGAGGAGGAGAGTTGAACCGCGCGATCAAGTCGCGAGCTCAATCGAGCGCGAGGCATGCATTCGACGAGAGTGGTCTTTTAGTCAGCGAGCACACCCGACGACGCAGGTGTACTCACGCTCGAGATCTCTATTGCGGAACTACCCTATGGCCGCGAGGAGGTAAACGATCGCTTCGTAGCACTGTAACACATCGAGAGGGAAGAGTACAACGAACCACGTCCGTCGAACAAAACGCAATATGACATTCCCGAGATGAGGTCGCGCGCGCGCGCGCGCGCGTCGAATTTTAGTACTCACCCCCGCCCGACGCCCCTGTGTTAACGGTATTGTTATTGTTATTATCGAGGGGAAATTTTATTATTCGACGGATACAGGAGTCTTCGGCAGAGAAGACGGCGATTACGACGAGCTCGAGAGATCTCCGGAGTGCGTGAAAAGAGCATCACTTATCCGTTTACACGAGACGGGGTACTCGCAATTTGTACATTCCCTACTCGCGAAAATCTATCAGGTTCTCTCTCCTCCCCCCTCCTTTCTCTCTGGCCGTCTATCTTTCTCACTCCCTCGTCCCATACGCCTCTTTTCCTTCCATCGTCTCGCTCGCTCGCTCGCTCGCTCGCTCACTCATTCACTCACTCACTCACTCACTCACTCACTCACTCACTCACTCACTCACTCACTCACTCACCTGTCAGAGCTCTCGGAGCTGTCGTATCGATCGGCGCACCGCTTCTTGCCGCAGGGCCCGACGAGGGTGTCCTCGGCCATCCTAACCTGTGCCTTGAACGGGCTGCCCTGGTGCCTGGTGATGGCGGCGGGGACGCCGCGACCGCCACCGCCGCCGCCGCTGCCGCCGCCACCGCCGCCACCGCCACCGCCACCGCCACCGCCGCCGCCGCCGCCGCCGCCGTCACCGCCGTCACCGCCGTTGCCGTCACTGTTACCGTCCGTTTTCACTGTCGCGGCGTCGCCGCCGCCGCCGTCCTTCGCGTTTCCTCTCGTCTGCTCCATTTGTTGCTCCAGTGCCGGTTCTCGCACGACGACGACGCTCGCTCGTTTGATACGCGACACTGTCGACGAGGCCGCGACCGCGTCGTTATCCCCGCGGTCGTTTCCTTCCGGCACACCGTCCGCGCTCAAACATCGCGACGACGACGAAGGCGAGTCGGCAGCCGCGTCGGCGTTCTCGACGACACCGACGCCAACGTCGACGCTGCTCGCAGTCGCGTTGCTACTACGACCGGTCATGACCGCGACACCACCAACACCACTTTTACTATTAATATTACTATTACTACTGCCACCACTATCACCGCCGCAATCGCTCTCGACGCCGTCGTCCTCGTCGTTGTCGTCGTCCTCGTCTTCGTCGTCGTCTTCGTCGTCGTCGTCGTCGCCGTCGCCGTCGTCGTCGTCGTCGTCGCCGTCCACCTCATCCACGATGATTCCGGCTATCTTGATTCCATCATCACCGATGTGGTACAGATCGACACTGCCACTGCCGTTACCGCTGCCGTTGCTGCTGCTGCTGTTGCTGTTGCTGCTGCTACTACTACTACTGCTGCTGCTGCTGCTGCTGCTGCTGCTGCTGCTGCTACTACCGCCGCCGCCGCTGCCACCACCGCCACTGCCGTCGACGCCGACGCCGTCGCTGCTACCGCTGAGCCCCTTGGCAGCACCGACACCGCTCTCCTCCTCGTCGTCGTCGTTCGCTGCTCTAGTCGCGTCGACGCACGACAACGAATCACCACTATCGGTCGCGGCAGTAGCACCACGACCACCAACACTACCGCTGCTGCTGCTGCTGCTGCTGCTGTCGCCGCTGCCACCGCCGCCACCGCCGTCGCCGTCGTCGTCGTCGTTAATAACACGATCCTTGTCGTTGCGATGATCGCTAACGTGATGACGGTGGAGATTATAGTAATGACGATGTCGCGGTACCGTTTGGTGATGGTAAGATCGACGAGAAGTATGATGCTGCTGTTGTTGCTGCTGCTGCTGCTGCTGCTGCTGATTATGATGATGATGATGATGATGGTGATGATGATGACGATGATGATGATGATGATGGTTATGATGATGATGAACACGGCGGTCGTGATGAGAACGATCGTTGTGATGATGATGATGATGATCGTCCATCCCGTCGAACACAGAGACGTCCTCGAGGACACGCTTCACCGCGTTCCGAGTGGCGGCCGAACAGAGTCTCGCGGGCGACGTGCTGGCGTCCAGGTGTTTGTGTCGCTCCCTAGTCACACGAGTATCACCGTCCCCCGGTTTGTCCGCGGTCGCGTCCTTCGCGGACGGACAGTCTGCCATCTTGTAAACGAACGCGCACTATTGTCGTGTGTCTGTGTCCGGCAGTGGCCCCTATGGCACGCACGAGGAGCACGGGACGCTCCACCGCTAAAGCCGTCGTCGTCGTTCCTACGGCCCGGCAGCGAAAACGACTCGTGCGAGCGAACGAGCGACCGCGAGCACCTCTATACCCTCTCCACGCGACGAAACTGCACCGCCACCTCTCGCCGACGATCCGATGCTGCTAGACGCCTCTCGGCCCCCTCCTCTCTCACTCCCTCTTCTTTCGCAGTCTCTCTCTTTCTCTCTCTCTCTCTCTCTCTCTCTCCTTTCGTGTGGCACCGCGCCTCACGTCGGAAATAGCCGAACACGGCCGAACGCGAATAACTTCTTAAACGAGAACTAGCGACATCTCTCCGCGGAATCTGAGAGATGCTGCGCTGCAAAATTCCGCGGTTCTTTTGTTCATTCATCGTCAATAATGTTGCAGTTATTGTGAGATTGATACATGTTAGTTTAATTATTTTTCAATCGCTTTACAATAGCTTCGACAGGAGTTTTTCTGGAGAAACAGGAAAACACAGTGAGTTTTAATATTTTTATTCTTTGCTTTTTTGCCACGGAACGGAGTAAGACGTTGGTAAGATTGTTCTTTCAGAGTTGAAAATTACTTGACTTTATTTTTCCTCTCTTGTACATATCCGTCTTTATAATTTTGAATAATTCTTATACTGATTTCGGTCTATTTAAGAAAAGCTGTCTCATAAGAAATGCATATAAATCTCACAAAGATTAACAATTAAAAAATTGTACTGTATTGTAAATCAACAATCTTAAAGTGAAGTAAAAAATTGCAAATGATGATGTGTTCACTTGAAGACAAAGGACAATATTGTCCTTCGTGATATAACTTATCGGAATATCAAAGGGAACTCTTATAATTATAAAATTCCACTGAGGAAAGAAAACTCGAGAAAAAATTACCCATATATAAATTTCCTCTTTTCATTCAACAGCTCTTTTATCTGCAAATATAAATTATATGTTCAGATAATGAGATAAATTTATATGTAGATGATATCATTACATGATATCATATGATTATATATATTTATATATGGATAATTTTGTTTCAAACATTTTATCGAAAATATTTTAATAATACTGCAAAACAAATGGCTTATTCGCGAGCACAATAACAAACCGTGTAAAGGTGGAATGTTAGTCAAAAGTAAACAGTAATAGTCAAGTTGTTTGTGTGTAATTCTATAAAATCTATAAACAACAAGAATACTAAAAGAAAACATCAAAATCAACTTTATGCACAATGAAAATTGAATAAAAATTTCCATATATACAAAACTATCTGTTATTCAGCATGGTTTATGCTTTTCACAAATCTGTAAAAGCAATGCAGATTAATTTTTATATTATTGTTGTATAAAGCTGACTTAATGAAGTATACTGAGTGAGCAATAACAAATTTTTGCTTCTGCATATAGCACCTTTTGCATTTTATCTTATGGCCTTCGAGCTTATATGATAATTTTAGAAATATGTATGTACAATGATGATATATTAATTATAACAATTGATGTTAATAACATATTTGCTACATATAAGCCATCTAAAATATATGAGATTTTCTACTTTCCTCACTTATCAACAGCCTTTGCAAAACTAAAAATTTTTACTATCACGTTGCAACAGCTCTATTATCATATATTTATTCGCAATATTCATGTAAAAACATTTCTATATTAATTGTTGTAGCTGAAGTTATAAGTGCCCCACTGACTTAGCAGGAATGTCAAATATCTACCAATTGTTAATTATCTCGAAATTAGCTTATGTATAAATAATATTCATCATCATCACCAACCTGGCTGAACTGACAACAACAATAATAGGCTTTTCATCTCATCAGATATTATCACATAAGTACGCAGAAAATATGTAAAAAGATGTATTGTTTATGTGACTGTGATATATCATGAGTTGCTTCTATTTTAACTTGATTTCTTGATGGAACACATAAAGCTCACATAGTGAGCTTACATAGTCAGTTGCAATTACAATATGTGAGGAGTGCAAATTTGCTTAGGGATCACGAAATCACAAATTTAATAAGTTAGTGGAACGATTGAAATTCATATTATCAATATGACGCAATACGTCTATTATTTCCTATAATAGATAGTCTGTGTCCTCTTCGATATTCATTGGGGCTGGTCGTGATGCTGCCGTCAAGTCCGTGAGGAAAAGAGCTTCAATGTTGACAGGATGCGCTTGATCATCTATTGCACTCGCACTTCGAGTGAGTTTACGGATACGTCGCTTTTCTTTCCTCTCGGTCTTCAATTTTGTGAATTCGGTCGCGTTGTTGCCGCTAGAACATGAGGAGCTCGCAGTGCTAGGAAGGTCGTCGTTGCTTAAATTACTGTTGTAACTGGTCGTCGGCTCGTTGATAATGCTCGATTCCACCGAATGTGTAGATTTTTGTCTCCTAAAATCGAACTTATTTTAATGAAATTAGATACTAATTAAAACGTTTAATCTTAATGCTTAACTTGCCGAAAAAATGCTTGATTCTGTTTTGATATATTAGGGATATGCAAAAGTTTCCATCGTTTTCTAAGGCAATGTCTTTTATTAATATTATTATAAATGACATAGTATTTGTAATCAAAATATTTGTCTGCATTATCTACTTACTTTTTGTGCCATCTTTCAGGCAAAAAATGGATAAAAGAAGTCTTTGCTCTTAGAATGAATGAAGTTATCGATGAATTACACTTCCTCAACATTGCGAAGTCGTATATTAGAAAAACTGCCTTATATAAGACGAAATAAGTGAGAATCCGATGAAGCAATATCTGAAGAATATGCCGAATAATAAAAAATTCGGTCTCCGTTAAAAGTTGAATTCCATTAAAGTTGAACAAACAACACAATTTAAATTATATTTAATGTGTGAAAATTGAATATAGTTAAAATTTGTTGGGTTGTTCGAATCAATCGTTTGGTTGTTTGGTAGCAGCTCAAAAAAAAGACCATTCCTTTCCAATCTTACAAAATAGAGAGCATCACCTTCTTCTGATGAATATCAGTTTTCAATGTGCTTTGAGCTGGTACTGTAATTAGGCAGTTATTTGATAGTTAAAATTTAAGATAGAAATATTAAAAATAATCTATAGACTATTAGATACATTATCAAAAAAGAATCAAATAAAAATTAACAAGAACCAATGCGAAGTATCTCGGGAGATTACCACGATATTCGGATTTCGATATTAACTTTTCAGGGAGTTATCTCACTTTTTCAAATTTTCTATACCTTTCTTTCAAAACAGTATATTTCCATCATATCAAACACAAACTTGTTATTGCATTACCTAATGCTTTTCCGCTTTTCGTGCGCAGTTCTGTAATCTGAATTATCACTTGAAACTATGTTCCCTCCCACAGATGCGCTTCTGGGAAACATGTCGCGCATGCGAGATCGTTCACTGCCGGGAACATCGACAGGAGCACTTGCTGGTGGTGGACCTTGTGCGAATATGCTTTGTACATGGGGTTTACTATCGTGCTTCATTGAAGTTAACGTTATCTGCTCGTCTACTTCCTCGATGACACCTATCCTCATGGAACCCCCTGCACCTGCTGCAATAGTATTTCTATTATGTTTTACTTTATCAACAATCCTCAATTATCGTTGATTTTTGACGCGATCCTTACGTCTATCTACTGCAACAAGAACATCAGAAATTGTGGAACTCGAACTTGGAATCTTTCCCGGAGTTTTAATATCAGTCATAGTAATTCCATCTGGTCTATCTTCCCTACTAAAGAATCGCTTAAGTACACTAGTTACGCTGTTTATTCTAGTGAGCGAACCGCCCAAATTGCTGGAAGTTGAACCTCCGCTAAGCGTACGATCCCGAGTACTCACTCTGCTAGTACTCCTAGTACAAAGAAGTAGAATTTTAACATTTACACTCGAAGCGTTCTGCCATGATATCAGTAACTCAACGAAATTGTGCAAAACAAATCTTTGATTAAACTCACAATAATCTAGTGTTATAAGATACAAGTGGACTCAAGTAATGTTATAAGATACAAGTTACTGTGCACTAAATTAAGTGGTGACTGAGAATCGCGTCCCGTGTGTAAAATATAATAACCAAGAGACGATTCAGTTTTTCGAGAAATGTTCGAATTAAATTATCGTCGCGCTTACCGCGACATTTTGCCTCTCGCAGTGAAATGTATCCCTGATGCAGCATCATCGGCGATATCTGAATGGAATTTAGGATAATCTGCCAACATTTCGTCAATCTTAACCGATGACGGTTGCAGCTCTTGTTGTGCTGCGGACAACTGTATCCTGGCTGTTGATGGTTGCGGATGTTCTTCACGGAAAGGCTGAGCCGCAGCTGTATATGGTAGTTCCATGGGGAATATCTCGTCCCAATATTGATCACGTATGAGCTCGGGATGTTCATGATGCATCTCATCAACAATTAAATAACTCACCTTGAAGGAGAAAAGATTTACTGTCCATATCATCAATTATTATCGTTTCATTGTGCAAATATTTTCCTTTGGACAAGTTCTGTCGTTAATCCTAACGGATATCAAGCTAATCTCTGTCTACATATTTGGACGAATTTCACTTCTAATTTTCAACTTTCTATGAGTAAGTCTTACTTGCAAATTGCGATCGATTAACCAATTCACTTCAAAATCATCGTCATCTTCGCCAAACGGATTGATCAATGTTTCGGCCACTTTTAACCAACCCATATAGAAAAAGAACTGCAAAGTTGCAAATACTGGAAAGTACAGGTCAATACTTACGGCCGCGTCTTGAACGGCCTGACGACCTATCACACTGGTAAGAAAGTACGTATAAACGGCCAACGTTACCACCTGTAATGAAGAGCCATATTACTTACAATTTGTAACGGGACGAATTTGAAAACGTTAGAACTATTCGAAAACCATCGGACAAATGTCAAAATGTCGACTAGTATTGCTAACACTTTATATTTTGTTCTTATTATGTGATATAAATGTATGTTAAGATATAAAGATTAATTAATCGATGAAGGCCAAAACTTCCCTAATATAATGTATCACAGATGTTAGAATTATCGGAAAACTATTGAAAAGATGTTAATAAGATTGACTAGAACTATGTGCATCTCATACTTTACTTTTGTGTTGAGATGCCAGAGTGGCAAGATTCAAAAATTATTTCAAAATAGTTAATGAAACTGGATACTCTGCTCTACATTGTTCGAAATTTTAAGATTTTTATTCCTCGAAGCAATGTATGTCTATCACTCTAAAACTGAGTTAAAACTTGAGTTGCAGTTCTAAAAAGTGAGATGTCAACTTCGCATCGGTCGGCAAGACGAATTCAGAATGGACATCGTGCATTTTTAACTGTTAAATTTTACATAAAATATGCAGATATCTTTTTCTCGATATTAATCTTCAACATTTAGGCCAATATATCATATGTTTACCTGAGTATAAACTAGGGGGACACTGATCGTGTCATATTGGGAAATACTGCCGCACTTTCCACGAAAATGATTGAGTTCATCTATGAGGGTTTTCATCGCAAAATCATCGCGTATTCGACCTTCTTTCCTAGCGCGAGTCACAATGCTCGACGCCCAAACTATCGGCATCCAATGTTTGCTGGGTTTGGGGAATTTTGCATTCAGATTTTTGAATATTGAGAGCTCACTTTCTAGCAACAATCCAGATTCGACGAAATGCTCCATAGTAGGAAATCTCTTCTTCACTCGTGGCGAAACGTTCGTGAGTACTACAGTTAGACAGACACAAACGTACCTGGGAATAGAATTTACTTCTATTTATTAAGAAAAAATATACTCTTTGCCTGTAGATTTATCCATTCATTCATAAATGTTATCTCAAATAATGAATATAATTATAAGATGAAAGTATAGAATTGTGTGTGTGTGTGTGTGTTGTGTTGTCTATAATCAGACGAATTTAAAATCATTTTATTTTAATGAGATATGTGATAAGGATAAAAAAGCTTATATCTCCTATCGTTAAAATTCTTTTTGATTTTGATTTATAATATATCACATAAGTAACCAAGCAATAATTAATTAATCAGGGATTGATTAACAACTAATAAACTACCAGTGACTTAAATATATACTGCTCAAAAGAATTATATATATATATATGGCATAGATAATTTATTGCCGAAAATTGGCCAACTTTGACTGGCGATTACTTCGCGAAAAATTATTGTAGACTAATGATTTTTTTTTTTTTTTTTTTTTTTTTTTCAAAATGAAGCTTGAAGTCTCTACTTTAAGAATGTATCTCCAATTTTTTGCATGCGATGCACCCCTACCCCTGTAACCCCTGACATCTGAGGGCATGTTTGGTGTACTGAAAATTGTAAAGTTTGACTGAAAATTGAAAAATTGTAGCGACTCCATTTTTTTTTCAAATTGAAGGGGAAAATTTGAACTTTACGACGATGCAAACGGCGTCTCCGAAAAAAAATTGTCCACGTCCGTGCATTCCGTTAAACTTTGCAATTTTCAGTATGCCAAGCATGCCCTAAGATGTCAGAGGTTACAGGGGTAGGAGTGCATCGCATATAAAAAATGAAGATACATTCTTAAAGTAGAGACTTCAAGCTTCATTTTGAAAAAAAAAATCATTAGTCTACAATAATTTTTCGTAATAATTTTTCGAAGTAATCGCCAGTCAAAGTTGGCCAATTTTCAGCAATAAATTATCTATGCCATAATTCTTTTGAGCAGTGTATATATAAGTGGTGAAACGAAAAATAAATCGAGTTTACGTTTTATGACTGTGAAGGAAAAACGAAAATGGAATCATTGATACAATAATTTTGAACAAAGCATTCTGCGAGGAAAAAGTCTAATTAGCGGTAAGGGAAAAATTGCGACATTTTAATATTTTACTACGGCTTTCTCAAATTATTCGTATAAAATAAGCAAATTAACCAACCACAGTCGACTATTCTTCTTGCAACTCAAGAATAATTGATCATACTTGAACAACATATTTTCTTACTGTTTTAGTCTTGATGTTTATCTCTTTCTGTGCGCTTTTTAACGATACATGCTGTGTTTGGATATTCGTATGTCGATGAGTGGAATACAGAACTTATTCTGTTTTCCAACATTAATTTCATGGAGTGTGAATTATATCTACAACGTGACAACTTTACACATTGTGCAATACCTAAGAATTGTCCGACGCATCAGACGGCCGCGTTCGTCGTTTCCATGTATACTAGCCGATACGAAGACCGCGATGGAATCGGGCCATGGTATCGCCATATATTGATTCCACCATCTAGTCATGACTATACTGACATAGAAGCCCAAGACAAACGACAGTGGTATCAAGTTGCTGTACTCGTTGCAGTACGCCACCACAGCTTCGAAAATCTTCTTTTGCTTATCATCCAATACCAAACGATAGATGCCGGACAAGGTATAATAAATAGAGAGATAGAGTGCAAGATCAAGCCAGACGAGTTTATAGATACTCGCCCTCCATCTGAAACAGATCGTCGCCGCTCGTAAATCAGCTCATCAGAAGAAGAATAAACAGTGTTCGGCATGGTAGAACAATGACTACTATCTGAGATAGCCTCTTAACGAATGATCCGTATTAAATCAAGGAACCGCAACTCGCACTCGTCAAGTATGACGAAAATGATGACGATTATAAGATAGCAGTGTGCAGTTTAAATTTTAAAGATCTGACGGAACAACAGAGGCACACTCCTGACATAAACTTCTATCGCGGTAACGAACGCGATAACGTTACTCGTATGTGTGTGTGTGTTATCGAGCCGAAAGTCGATAATCCTGTTCCACGGAGACTATATCTTGACACATTTCCTTCATACGAATAAAGCGACATTGCATTTGGAATATGTCGATTTTGAGTGACGTAGCGCGCCATGTTTTTGCGCAAGCACATTGGAGCTGCTCGTCAGCTGTGTTCAAGATTGGAGATGTTCCAATGTAATACGCGAGACTATTTTCAAGTATGTGAGACGCACTCGTGATTGTCGTTGACACCTAGTTCTACAGTCACGTCAACGCGAAAAGGTGTTAACCGCGTTTAAAAATACATAAACCAGAAGAATGAAGCATTACCTATAAATAAGTAATGTTTGGATGCCATAGAAGTGCGCTCTGATCGCAAACGGAAAAGAAAAAGAGATGAAACATAAAAACTGAAGTGAATGAAAAAAAATAATGGGAAATATTATAAACTATATATATTGGAATTGACAGATCGAGCAATAATAACGAAACGTCATACCGGGAAATAAGTAAACAAGAGAGAGGAAAATGAAACATGCAAATGCTAGAACCACAATATACAGAGAAATATATACATTGAGATTGAAGCAATTTTTAGAGAGAGAGAGAGAGAGAGTCGATCGATCATGGTGGAGAATTTCAACATAATTTCTCTACTCTCGATAATTCTCGAATGTGACTGATCGATTCGCATGCTGTTTACTTTCCTTTGTGTGCTATGATCTTGACGCGGAGAGTAAAATACACAAATAATATTAAAATCGAGACAAATAAAAACAAGACGATCGAAAGAAAAGACACGCGTGACCAACGACTTTGATTGTGATTCGAATAACGTCTCAAGTTATATCGAAATCTCGAAATGCTCGCACTTGTCAAATGACATTTTGCCACGCCACTTTCGTGAAGAAAAGAAATAAAAATGCATTCTCAATCTATGAGGTTGTATAATAAGTAATTTGGAATTTTTTGAGTCAATAAAGATTATTTTTAGATAAAATAGAACATTTTTATTTTTGTCACTATAATTTTCTGAAATAATGTATGTACCATTTTTGTCTATGATCTTTTTCCATCCTCCGCGCATACATATATTGTTTCGTAAAATTATTTGTTTATTAATGGGAATTATCTCTTTGATCCTTTAATTATTAAAGAAAGAATAAGGAAAGGAGGTGTCTTTATAACGACACACATGTATAATCTTTTCATTTTACTTGACAAATTTTAAATTACTTATTACACAACCCATACACACACACATATATATATATATATAGTTCCCCGATTACAATTTTCCATTATACAAATCCAAACAATAATTACCTGAGCAACAACTTTAAAAAGCACCCAAGACCCCTGCAAGTCGCTACCTCGGCAGTATAAGAAACTGTCATCTTTCATTCGATGCACGTAACTGTAGCACGTGTGTCACTCTCAGCTGTTCACGTACAGCCTGCACTTTTGCTAGCCAACACCTCGTGACATCCCCCGTGGAAGTGGTTACGATATCGTTTCTCACAATAATCGGGCGCGATTCGCACGCAGGACCGAATGATATGCCGTCAACTATATTGAGACATCATCATCTTCGGCTCCGCTTCCTCGGCAGCGCAATCGTGGAGACTGATCCCGAGAATACCAAGGTCATCGCCAGTATATTATCAGGCCGTGTCTCTCTCGCCGCGATTATGTAAGCTTATCAGCAGGCGCGTTATTTCTGATTAGCGAACGTTTTCATGTTTCGTGATAATTAATATTGTCAAGGAAACTATTGTTTCGAGCCGTTTATTAGTCAGCTTCTTCTTTTCTTCCTCTTTTTCACGCTTTTTCACCGAGAGAGAATCGCGATGAGAATCGAGAGTCTTGTGCGATGATATCTCTCTGCGATATCGTGCGTTCCGTTCGCGTGAGTGTTGCTCGAGTTCGTTATATCTATTACTTGATCTGATATCTTGCTCTATATATGTATATATACTTTTTTTATTTTATCACTCTTTAATAGGTTTCAAAGCAATTCGCATGTCAGCTTCTTCCAAGTAATCGATCGAATTCTCGTGGACTTGTGTTTGCATTCGACTCGTGAGAATTTATTATCTCAAGTATATCTGGGCATATTATTTCAGAGATAAATTTAAATTTGTTAGATATACAACTCTCGTTCTTCTTATTAATCGTCTCTCTTCTCCAATACCGTAATATATAATACCGTTATTTTTCCTCTTTGAATTGTATTTTTCACCCGCTGTGATTTGTCCTCCACAAATGAGATGTCGTTAAGAAATGTTCTCCATAGGATTCTCTCAATGTATCTCTCTTGATCACATTCGTAGCTCAATTTAACTTGTTCTTATCAATTTTAGTCTCTATCGACAATTATGCGCTTCGAATATTTTCTCGTTACAACCTGCCGTTGTTGCAATAAAATTTTCCAAGTTTCACAATGAATAAACATAAGTGAATCCCGTGGATCAAACATATAGAACTTTATCTGAAATCTTGCAAAATGGACGGTTCTTTGTTAATAGCAAAGATACTTTAAAGGCACTAATCGTAACGTGTGTCGGATGATTTATCCGCAAGTGTTGCGTTGCTCATTTTCCCAATTAAAGTTAACACGTTTCATCACACAGTTGGCGCAAGTCAAGCTCGGAAATACTGTTCACGCAATCTCCTTGAAAGGAATTTTCATCCTCTAGAAGAAAGAAAAAGAAATTACATTGCACACTATTGAATCGCTCTTTATTCATTCTTTTAAGACAATCATTTTGTGAAGAACACAGTAAAAAATTATAATCTCGAAATTCAGAAAATAGGACAATTTCCCGAAAAATCTGTAAACAAAATGATACAGTTGCTTTATATCCCCCTTGAAATCATACAACTTTTGTCTGAAACGTTGTTTTTGTTCTACGATCGCTCCCTACAAAGTTACGAGGGGTGATAGATTAAAATTGGACACCCTGTATAATAGAAACGTAGAAGTAGATCTCGTTAGCGGAAAAAGGAAGAGGAAGCGGAACCAGAAGAAGAAGAATATTTAATTCGTTTTTTATCCCGCCGCGCGGGAAACCAATTAATCAATTCGCAAAATTAATTCATTTCGCTTTCTTTTAATTCGTCTATATTCCTCGGAGCGTATTCCGCATTCTGTGCTACAAAGCCTGTCTTTGTGTACGTGTCGTTATCATTATGTCGATGATACGTTACTTCGAATATGTCATATATTATATTAAGGTATACTCGACGTCTGTCGCGCCGGCGACTGTCAGTCTCGGCCGACCCTCGGAAGAATCATGACGCGAAATTTTCTGGGTATGTCTTGTGACATCATCGTAAGATATAACAGTACCACGAAAGTATTACGTGGAAAGCCCGATTGATATGCGGTAACGTTAACGCGGTACACTACGTTAGATGGATAGAAACTTTTTAATGAAATTCATCTGGAAGTGACGCGGAAAATCAACCGGCTTGAATGACATGCTTCGTTATAGACATAATAATACGATACGTTCAGGATAACACGTATAACGGAACAAAATGACCTTTGACATCGTGGCAAATATAATTCAACTGAATTGCGCGAAATAGAATGTCTTATAATGCACTTTAAACGCACGAACGTCATGTTACAGGTTAACTTCGCCCATGAATTGTCTCGATCATAGGTCTGCAAAGTAAATACCACAATGACAGTAACATTGCATCAATGTTATAATTTCCTACTCAATAATGTAAGGCAATATATATGTATAACATATGAGTAAGACGTTATAACATTGATATACCGGATATCTGACCACCTGTCCACCTCGATTATTTTGTAAACGCGACATTTTAGGAAAAAATGTATCAGAGAAAAGTTGTATGGTTTTAAGGGAAACATAAAACGATCATATCAGTTTGCTCACAGATTGCACCACTTTCGAGATATTCACTGATCATTACTTTTCTTAAATGGAAATCCTAATTGTATCATCTTTTCCTACCTAGTTAATTTGAACAATTTTTGTCTGAAATATTTTTTTATAATATTTGCCTAATATTTTTTGAGATATTTAAGGAAAAGTTGGCAACTTTTTCAACATTTAACTTACGATATATCGCTAACTATTTGTTGGAAGAAAAAATGGTATTAGACTTTTTTACTCTATTTAGTCTCAAGAATATATTGCTACAGTAATGCCCTAACTTTTGTTAACTTATTGATTTCTGGAAATCTTAAAATTATCAAATTAGTCAAAAATCAGGACTCTATTGTAACAATATATTCTTGAGACAGAGTAAAAAAGTCTAATACCATTTTTTCTTTCAATAAACAGTTAACAAGATATCGTAAGTTAAATGTTGAAAAAGTTACCAAATTTTCTTTAAATATCTTAAAAAATATTAGGCAAATAAAAAAATGTTTCAGAAAAAAATTGTTCAAATTAATTGATAGGAAAAGATGATATAATAAAAAGTTGGGATTTCCATTTAAGAAAAGAAATGATCAGTGAATATCTCGAAAGTGGTGCAATCTGTAAACAAACTGATATAGTTGTTTTATGTTCCTCTTGAAACCAAACAACTTTCCTCTGAAATATTTTTTTCTAAAATGTCGCGTTTACAAAAAAATCAAGGTGGACAAGTGGTCAGATACACCCGATATAATTTACTCTTACTCGATACTTCGGATGTGTTCGGAAACATTTCTCAGCTTCTTTCTCTCTCTCTCTCTCTCTCTCTCTCTCTCTCTCTCTCTCTCTCTCTCTCTCTCTCTCTTTCTCTCTCTGTATTTACTTCATTTTTGTATCTCTCACTCCAACACAACAAATGCACTCAGGTGACGTTTCTGAATGCAGCTTTACTGAGAAACATTAATTCTCGAAACTTGAACACGTGTGCTGCATAATAGTGCCGCATGTCAGAAAATCTTCCTTTCGACCTTGTCTGCATGTTTGTCATTAATATCGCACAGACACATCGTAAAATTCGACATACACGTTATATTCGCGTTTAACTCGTCCGAGTCACAACTGGCGACGTCGCTATCATATATATATAATAATTATACAATTATGACTTGTAATTAGCTGTTGTAATTGGTGTTCTAAACATTGAAAATTCAAGAGAAAATTCAGAAAGAGAGCATGAGTGTGAGAGAGAGAGAGAGAGAGAGAGAGAAGGGAAAAAGAGGGATAATGTTGCAGGAAGAAGAGAAACATAAAAGGTCCCATAAAAGGTATATTTTGCATCGGCAGGAAGTCAGCTGAACAAAGAAGAGACAGGAAGAAAGGTTCTAGATGCGAGGTGAAACCTAACGTTGGCTGCTTGCGTTTCACGTACCTTGCGATTTTGGTCCAATGAATCCGCGCACTCTCAGCCTCACAAAACACGTGAATATACAAAACAGCACGTGTGATCACGAATCGAAGCAAGACCGGTTGCACATTTATGGCAACTTGTCCTCCGCGTCCCATACGATCGAAGATCATGCCAGTATTGGCCAATACTGAAACGACACTCGTCGCAGTACACTTGTACACTAACTGCATTCCCCGTGCTCTCCTCTTTTACCCTCAACCGTTCTATCCCCTCCGTCCTCATGAGTCAGTGATTTTAAATTGCTGTCGGTAATGTGCGATCTACGTACGAAAAGAAAAAGAGAAACATGTCTAAATAAATTTAGTTTTAATTTGCATAGTTGTTTAATATTTGATAAATTTCATACGTACATACATAACATGTATATATATTTGCAATATTTTAATAATGTTAAGTTAATTTAGTTGTATTATTGAAGAATAAAATATTCGTTTGATCCATTGTTAGGCTATATTGAATGAAAATATAAAGGTCTGCCATGCATGAAATTGTATTATTTGAAAATTAAAGAATGTCTGATCCGCTAAAGAAAGAAATTATATTATTCACAAAAGTGTATATCTATCCACTCTGTTATTAGTGAAGATTTTGGAATTGCGTTTAAAATAATATTCACTATGTCACAACTGAATGTTTTAATATATTCTCACAAATTCTCACAACTGTTTTAATACATTCGTACATTAGTATACATTTTTTTTATAAAAATATAGACAATGTAACATCTTTTACTCAAAATCACTGCTGTCTCAGATATACAAGGTATAAACGAGTAAGTGATCCAATTTTTTTACCACACGATTTAGCATTACCAACAGCACTATAGTTAATAGAGTCGCGTATAGATGTTGCACGCATCGTGTCATCGGCAAATTCAGATAGGCTGCGTTCCGATATTCACTGCCAGCACTGAAAATCTATAATATACGTGACGCATACTATGTATTTTCAGTACTGGCAGTGAATACCGGAACGCAGCCATAGTTGACTTCTCACCGTCGTGAAGTTAGCAGACAAATTGAAGATTTTCAAATTTTTTTTGTATCATTTGGGAATCATTTAGGGAAGTTTAGGAACATAGTCTCATAGTTTGGGAAATAATAGTTTATTGGTTTATTAGTAATTAATAAAAATTAATTAAGCGTTAAGTTAGCAGACATAATAAAAGAAAATTTTTTTTTAATTTTTAATTAACGTAAAATTATTTGGGAAACACGTCTGTAATGTTTTTAACGTTTGGGAAATAATAAGTTTTTATAATAATTGAAAATAAAGATTACATATGGTACATTTCCGAAGATGGATGGAAATGCACCAATCAGAACGCAGTATTTTCACCCAGCAAGCAATCCAGCACACACAAGCACGACCGTGTACCGCTGGCTTAACGTTCAGCCAAATATTTAATTTCCTACCCAAGAATACTTATCTTCACCCCAAAAAGAAGTCTTTTTTGACGTTAAATATTTAAGCTGTGCACATAAGAATGGATCGAATAGGTTATTTCTTCCTGTCTCTTATCATGCAACTATACATTGTATATTTTGACTGGTACTTATATTTTATGCTTATCAACAGATTTAGCTAGCTGATTTTTAATTCACGATAACATCAAATTTAATGTTTATGCTCACAAATTTAACAATTTTACATGTATAGGATACAAATGTTGATATATTTGGTAAGAAATCAGAAAAGAGTCGTGGACATTGGCATCGTAGTTCATGTGTACGGTTGTACAGAGGGCGCCTCACACTGGGCTCCGCTAAAAGCGGCCCATGACACCTCTCCTTCTCTCTGGTTTGACGTTGCAAATGTTATTTTTTTTTTTATTTTCTATCTACAATCTTTTTATAACTTTTATAATTTTTCGCTCTTCTTTTACTCTTTCATTCTTTCACTTCTTTCACTCTTTACTTTCAGCGACTAACTTTTTCATTAATTGTATCTCATTATCCCCACTTTTGACGACACTATGGGTCAGAAAGATAAGAGAGGAACCTCTCTCTCTCTATCCGCATGCAAACAATAGGATCGTACGCCAATGCTCGTTCCAGTTAGTATATATTCCAGTGGCTAAGATCAAAGGTGTAGATACTTACAGAGAGAAGAAGGAGAGATGTTACATGTTCCATTCATCTTCGGAAATGTACCAATCAGAACGCAGTATTTTCATCCAGCAAGCAATCCAGCACGAAAACAAGCATCGTATTCCTGGCTTTAGTGTGCTGGCTTTAGTTGTGATCAAGGTTACTAGATATATAGGTTATCTCATTGGTGAGCTTGTGGGCAGGGTGCGCATCGGCAAGAGGGGCTATTGTGGTGCGATTCTATAGCTCGTTATTGGAGTAAAGGTCATTCTACAATACGTGTCGTAAGTTGTAAGCCATAAAAACTGACTAATTACAGCTGATTATTTTTGTAATAATCGACTGTGAATCGCCAATTCTTACGACTTACAACTTACGACACGTATTGTAGAATGACCTCTAAGCCCAGTCCAGAATAGGTTGCAAACATCCAGTTGCGAGTTACAAAGGATAGCAACTACTAGTTACAAAGTGTTATTTTCAGTTGTAAGAGACAGTTGCGGTTGCTAAAAGAAAGTTGTCCAACTTTTAACTTCTTGGCGACGGCAACCGGCAATCGCAACTGTCTCTTACAACCAGAAATAGCACTGCTATCCTAGCAGTTGCCATCCTTCGCAACGCAACTCGCAACTATAGGGTGCTTGCAACCTATTCTCGACTGGGCTTTAACGACACTTTCGTTATCGTTGCGCAGCTTTTGTATACCATAGAAAAGCTGCGCAACGATACGGAAATGGGAATATTGAACTTTGAATCCTGAATCTTGAACCTGTCGCTGATTAGGTCATTCTGAACAAAAAGGTCCTTTACCATTTTGCAAATAAGTAGGCAAATTTCCAAATTATCAATTAAAGGAGCTTTTAGATGTGCTCTTTAATAACTTAATAACTATTGCGATTTTTGCAAAATAGTACTTTTCTTCTCAGTTTGATTTGACTAATCTTCACAATTTCTCGTTTCCAAAAGATCCCGGACACTCTGTATATATTTGGATTTATATAACTATTTTCTTTGTTATTTTCTTCATTCATAGGCTGCGCCATGTTGAATCGAAGACTGATCAGTAAAGGACGGGAAAAATGGCGCTCACTCAACATGTTGCGAGTGAGCGCATCGCTCAGTAACGTTCAGGACGAAATCACTCAACAGTTGCACAACCGTTGAATGTCGTGAACGCACCCTTTCTCTCTCGCACAGGATTCACAATGACGACGTCACGAAAGAATGGGGATGAGGCAAGCTGTATATGGAGGCTGCGTTCCAATATTCACTGCTAGCACTGAAAATCTATAATATACACACACTATAATATACACTATAATGACACAGAGGCTGCGTCTCGAAATTCACTGCCAATACTGAAAAACTGTGGTATACCTGACATAAACTATAAATTTTTAGTACTGGCAGTGAATATCGGAACCCAGCCAAACTATGGGTGCTTCCGAAATGTCCAGGGTTGAATCAAGTTGAGTTAATTCCACATATAGTATATGTGACGGATATTATAGTGAAACCAATTCAGTTCGATCCAACTCTAGACATATCGGAAGCATCTTATGTATTTTCAGTACTAGCAGTGAATTTCAAAACATAACCGTAGTAACTTTGAGTTGTGATGACGATCTGGCAGTTTTAATTTTTATTCTCTTCTTATTAGTATAAAGGTTAAAATATTCTGGCACATTTGTGAAATCGAAATAAAATTAACTTGTTACACATAATTTGGTAATATTTAATTATATTATTAATTCAGTATATTTATATATATATATATATATATATTTAATGTATTAATCTTCATTTAAAATTAACCACTTGTCACATAGGTCTGTGTTATTTCGAGATAATTTTTCAACTTATAATTGTTTTTTCATAATGCAGGCATGAATACTATGAAAAGTTTTGTCTATCCTTGTAAATCCCCCCTATTGAGGATTATTTTCTATAATAGGTACGATGTTCAATTATTATTATATGTTATGATATTTAACTGTATCAATTATATAACATTGTTTTGTTGCTTGTATTTATAAATTTGTTTACTGATTACAAAATACTGATCTTGTTTATAATTTTATCAGATTACTAATGATTTTATCAATAATTTAATCAGATTTCGATGTTTATGCATATTATTAGGAAGTATTTATCGAATTATATATGAAGTATGTTGTCTTTTTCATTTCTTTATTTTTGTCTCATTTAACAGATTGAAAAAAGTCAATTATACATTAGTCAGATCAACATCGACCATAAATATTAAGGACATCAAGTATTACAGCAAAATAAAAAATGACTGGTGGGACACTAGTAAAAACGGTATAATGCTATCTCTTCATCTATTCAACCCACTTAGAGTACAATTTATAAGGGATGGTCTGGCTAATACTGGTTTCAAAGAACAGACTCCAAGTTTGCCATTGCAAGGAGTTAAGATTGCAGATGTTGGTTGTGGTGGAGGTATCCTAACCGAGGCTTTAGCTAGAACAGGAGCTCAAGTAACTGGAGTAGATGCGTCAGAAGAATTGATAAATGTTGCTAAGCTGCATGCAGAATTAGATTCTAATATATCGAAGAATATAAACTACGTTCAAACAAGCATAGAAGAATTCTCTAGTAAGAATGAAAAACTGTATGATGCTGTTATATCCTCTGAAGTTATAGAACATGTATATAACCAAGAATTATTTCTAAAGGTACGATATCATGATATTATAGAATGATAATGGAAATTATCTAAAATATTAAATATGAATTAATCACTTTATAAACTTTTACTACAGGAATGTGTAAAACTTCTGAAGCCTGGTGGATCAATTTTTATAACAACGCTAAATAAGACTCTGATCTCTTGGTTTCTTGGTATTATAATTGCTGAATATGTTATAAATATAATACCTCGCGGTATACACGATTGGAATAACTTTATTCCACCCTGTGAAATTCAACGTATATTGGAAAAAAGTAAATTTTTACCTAGATTATATATAATTTAAAGATACTATTTGCATGAAATTATAATAAATACATAAAAATCATTCATGTGAGTACTCTTGTATTTGATAATTTGAGGATTTTTTTTTAATATCTTTATTTTACAGATGGTTGTAAGACTAAATTAATTCATGGAATAATATATAATCCAATAAGTATGAAATGGTCTTGGTCATCCAACACAATACTTAACTATGGCCTCCATGCAGTTAAGAAGAAAGAAATCGATGTATAATTTTTCTCTGCATAAAATATCTCATGAACATAATAAGATGTACATGTACGTATTATATTGTAATATCATAAAATTGCTATATTTTTGCTGTTGTTATACTTAATTATTGATATTATGATACTATGGCCAAAGCTCATTGTACTAAAATACTCCAAAGGTATAATATAGGTCAGACACTTTATTAAGGAATAAGTACAAATATATTGAAGGACAAAGATTGGTATTATTATTAAATAAAATCGGTATATGGTATGAAAAGAATATATTGTTTATTTCAACAAATTCAATTCTATTCCAATATCATGGGCATTGTTGAAAAGATTATAATTTTTAAAACCCACGCTCGACAATATAATAAAGATGCAATAGGTTAGGATTTTTTTGGGGAGGGAGTATGGGGGCTCCGCCCCTCCCCCGTTTACATGTACTCTTGTACACTTTGCGACTAAGAAGAACAGACCATAACTCTATATTATTGGCATAACAGACTTCCTAAGTCCATGTGTATTTTTCAGATTTTTATAACTTGATCCGTTTGAGAGCGATATTTTTTTCTTTCAAAATCGCGTTCTGCGCACCAAAATTAACAATTCTACAAAGTTTTAGCGAAATCAGTGAGCATGCCCGTATTCTAGATAATCAGCGACATTATGAAAAAAAATATGTAAAACGAATCTTATATGTAAAGAGAATATTTATGCGTTGTGTATCGTATTCGTTTATTTGTTACAATCTTTTACATATTTAACAAAATAGAAATATCTTGTAGTAAGAGCACATGAGGTCAAAACGAGTAAAAGTGCTTATTCTCGTTGCAATTTAGATTCGATTTGATGCGCACGATGTTTGACGCGGTGCGTCGGTAGCTTTTCGTAATAATATCAGCTTGCATAAATTTCTCAAGATAATATCAAATTTATCATTCAACGAACGATATTTCAATCCCACTGTCTCGCGCGTATTAAAGTATTATTCCAACGCTACCACAGTGTTTTATACTCGTATAATATAAAATTGTACGTGTATATACATATATATTTCTTCTTTTTATCTTTAATATAAGCGAGCATGATAAGTTTTATGAATTGCCAAGCTTCAAACAATTAAATTAACTTATTAATGTATAAAATGTAAAAGTTTGAGCGCCATTGTCGGTTACGCTCAAGCAATCGACATTAAGATTACAGATGGCACCATTTAACTGCCTTATAAAGCTGGACGGCTCACTTGGATTACTTAATACATTGTACACTCGTTTACACAACGGCACGTATTTTTCCCTGATGAAAAATTAATCAGATCATGACGACCGCAAACCATTATTCATGAGCTTGTGCGGTAATCGGTTATAAAAACACCAAATTGACAGTATATGAGACACCCGAAATCACAACTGCAACGGAGGATTCAAGAAAAATGCAAATATTTTTATTATCCTTTTATCTATACGGTAAGAGTATAATAAAGCGTTACTATTTACATCGCATACTATCAGCTTCTACCATAACCGATTATCATATGAACTCGTGAACAGTGGCTCGGAGAAATATGTGCAAACAGTGTATTGTAACCGAGCCCGATACAGACTTTATATCATGGAGATTCATTTTTTAACTCTATAGGAGATACAAAAAAATAATAACAGCTGCGCGTATATTGATGCTCACCCGTGTCTAACCGATCTTAACATCACGCCACGAGCGTTGACCCCGTATGTTGGAATCATGTCTCCCAAACATTCTATTTTACAAGCCAAGATTTTCTAGACTCAGGCACATAATATAATGTATGTCTCTATTTACTTTGTAAGTCAACTCAAATAAACAATTACGTTCACGCGAGCATCGATTAAACGCCAACGTAAGGGGTAAACGACGATAACGACCGATCGAGAATCAACGCATATAAATTTAAATTGTAGAAGATCAAGTTTTTTAAATTGATGCTGCCAACAATCTGTCGTGCACTCGCGACATTGACGTAATTAAAAAATAAAAATTGCACACTTTTAAATATGGAAGCACGACTTGTCAACACGTTCTTTCCTAACGGTCGGATATACATATATATATATATATATATACGCAAGCCTCGAGAGGTAAACATGCTTCACGCTGCCGAAGATCCTGCACGTATTGCAATATGGAAAAAATCGCGTCAGCCTTTTATGCAAAAGCATAATAAATATTTTTACAAAGAGATGTGCAAAAGGTTATATCAAATTTCGTGCAGAGATTATAGTAAATATATAGAGAACGACGGTATAGAGAAATATTATACTATTTGAACAGCTGCATTGTTCGTTATAAGGATCTAGCTCAGATCCGCGTAAAACTGCAACTTGCGGAGATTATTCTCTCACAGAGAATTATTTCCAAACTGTACACGTTCCAGGTCAAGCTCGGTACATCCATTCGGAATTGTAGCGTCGCAGATATTTATCCCAACATACAAATGCGATGGACGCTAACGGCAATTTGCTTCTTTATCTCCTATGACGTCCCAAGTAAGCTTTACAGTTTGGACAATTGTGGTGAACATCCATGCACTCATCGATGCAACAAGGAATTAAGCAGCAGCCCAACCAGCATCTGGTATGAAGAAAATCTTGAAGGACACTTTTATCCAGAGATACACACATATATGATCTAAGTATTCTTTTTAATTACCCCAACAAAGCTATAATGACTCCTGATATATAAGCAACCATGCCAGGTTCTGTTTTTGTTGATGTATCAATCTCAGCATGACAATGTGGACAAATTGTATGTGTGGGTCCTGGCCCAAGAGGCACAATGGTTGTAACTATAGTAGGCCCATTTGCATCTAAAATAAGTGAAAAAATAACAAAATATTTGTCTGTAATAAAATCTATAATAAAATAATAATATAATACACAATATAACTGAAACAGTACCAACAATTTCTACTTGTTGGTTATTGCATCAATTGATGTAAATTGATGTAAGTTCTGTAAAATAGAATATAATATCATCTGTATACTTGAGTAACTCACATGTCTGTGCAGGTGTAAATGGACTAGCAGGTGGAACACCTCCTACAGTTTGAGAATAAGCTGGTGGTGCGTATGGAGGTGGTTCATAAGGTGGTGGAGGTCCGTTTTTATGCATGGTGCACAAGATATGGAACCTCTTTATCTGGTATTATCAGAATGTTACATACATTAATATCAGAATTTTCCCAGAAATTTCTTATCATTACCAACAGAAAACATAATGACGTAACATGCGATAATGCATCGTGACAGTACAATAGAAATCAAAAGATCATTTAAATTTATAATCATATAAAAAATATTACTTGGCATTTAAGTATTATTGTAATTGTATAAAAAGTATTAGTAATTATCAACACAAATAATCTGTCTGATAATCTGTCATTTAGCATCATCAATCGTTCGAATAAGCCGCGTGAAACTAGGAGTTATTGCAAAAATAAGAGAGTCATCACAGGGAGAGATTGCAAGGTCTGCGACGATAGTCGCGTTATTTCATGTCCAAATATAATTTCGATCGCGGAAGCTCGCGGAAACGAGTAGTGGAGAAATCGCGCGGCAACGGAGCCACGAGCAGCTGAAGAGACCTGCGTTCAACGAAATAGGTTGTTCCACGCTCAAGGCCATTGCCCGAATATGTACGAGCCGATTGCGAAATTCATAACACGAATCTCCAAGTGACATCCCCGCCCTGTTTCGATCCGAACAGGCATGACACACTCTGTAACAAGCTGCACAACGCGCGCGTTATGTCACAATTACTCACCGTTTGTTGCGTTAATACGAGCAAGTTAATTCGCCGCTTAATTATCACCGCTCAAAGACCGTTTTTAATCTTTAAACACACACACACACACACGCGCTTACACAAGTCACTGCACACGCAAAGTTGCTCCTAGACGTGAGTCGCTGTTAACTCAGCGTAAACAATAGGAGATATTGTGAGAAGTAGGCGTACCGTGCGTCGGATATATCGGCGATATCGCTGGTTTTCACGAAGCTTCTGCGAGGATTAACCTCAATTCACATCGTCACTGACAGAATCATACGGCTCGTTTTCACAGAATGAAAAGTTGCACTCACCGGTATACAAGTTCGCTTTCTTCTTCTTTCCTTTTCTATTTTCTTTTCAACTTTTCAACACTGTCTTATATCACCGATGTTTGAAGTTCGCTTTCCTTCTCGCACAATTTCTTCTGATATAAGACTCTAAACAAAATATTAAGCGTTTCATTTCTCTTTGCTTATACTAATGCGTAGAGTATACTGTCATGTTAAATACACACCATTAACATTATATAGATAGCGATCAACTTGATCGAGAAGGCTCTTCAAGAAAAATAGTTTCTTCTGCAAAGAAAAAGAAATTACGATATTTGAAACTATGCGATATATGCAGCTCGTTTGAATCGCCTCGAGGTCTGCCACCATCTTTAACTCAGGGTGCTTTCCAAAGAATAATATAGAGCTGTCTTATTGGCTACTTATTACCTTATGAGGATACGCAACCAATAAGACGCTTTCCTTGCTGGAGATAAACATGAAAATACCGGAAAAATAAAGATCGTAGTATATCTCAACGATAAGTCGGACGGATTTATTTTTCAAGCGCTACTACTCAAGAATGAGTCAATGAACTTTTTTCTTTTCTTTTTTTTTTTCTTTAACAATGATCGAATAGAATTTTTTTATCAATTCTTATAAGGTTATTTTTTTTTCTTCAAAACCTAAATATAGAAATTTCAAGTGAACGCGAGTAAACACACACACAAACACATCAGATTTACAAAGGGATAAAATTGTAACTTTAAAAAAGATTAAAACAATTAAAAGACATTACATACACGACATATTTTATCGGTTTTAAATTATTATAAAATTAAAGGAAAAATAAACATCATTTTCGCGTGTAAGCATAATCTTTCGAAAATCTGTTTCATATGATGTGCTCATATCAGATTCCGTTATTACTTCGATTATTTTGCTTCGTTTATTCGATAAAAATATCTCGAAATGATATCATGGAAAATCTAAAGCTGAATTATTTGCAAGATGACTATGGCAGGCATATCGTATTTTACTTTACAATATATTGCATGTCGCTTTGAAAAATTAGACTTTTTGGGTATACTGATAACCACTAAAATAAAAAATATTTAAATTATATTTATATATATTATCACTGTGTGTATGTGTGTATGTGTGCTGTGTATAGCTTGGCAATAAGAGTAATAATAATAATATTAATAATAGTAGTAGTATTCATATAACTTATTATCGATTGATATCGATTTGAACATTTTTTTAACATAGGGAAACGTCATCCGTCCACAAGGACACACTTTGTGCGACAGCCTCGACGTTCCAATTTACAAATCGCGCCAATATTCTTTTAGACTACTACTGTTATTAGCACAAACTTCAACGGATTAACTATCCACATATGAATTAGACAAAGTTAAGAAGCAATTTTAATAACGCTGCATCCAGAATTACATCGATATCCAGGAAATAATTAAAGCCCCGGGGCACCTTCACTACTGTGCGACGGACCGTATGATCTGAGAGTGCGCCAACTTTAGACTTTTCTGATTATTTACCATTCAAAGCTTTCTCCATTTGAAAGCTCTCAACAGTCTTGACTGATTTTGTATCAGGAAATTCTTCCTTTTTTTCTTTTTTCTTTTTTTATCTAAAAACGTTCAGTAATCTGGCGTTAACAAATGTCACAGTAGTGGTGGGACACCCTGTATATATATATACATATATTTATATATTTATATATATATACCATCTGTCGCCACTCTCGTCAGCCGTTGTATCGTTACATAACTCGTTGTTAATGCGTAATAATTACGACTTGCGAAAGCACCTCATTCAAACGCAGCACAGACGGGGATGTAGGATAATCTACATGTATATGTACTCGTGAAATATCGGCAATTTATTACGATTAAAAGAACTTTAGCATATCCAAACTCTTTCAAATCTGTGAAGAATTAAGTCACGATTGCCGTCGAGAGTGTAATTGAACGTTATGTACAAACGATTATTAATATTCCTTATTGTATAATAGATTACATAGTTTTGCTTGTTTTTCTCTGTATATACGTCAGTCTTGAATTGCTTTTGCCAGAAAACACTATTTCTGCTATGTGATGTGTGTGCATACGTGTTAGTGTATGTGTGCGTATGTAAGTGTATTTTGTTTGTTTTTTGTGTTATGTGTATCCTGTGTGTTGTGTGTGTGTGTGTTTGTGTTTGATGTAGAGTTGGTAGAGAGTCCCTTTATGGATATGTAGAAAAAGAATACGCCGCCGAGCTCTCACATAATAAAGCTTTACCTATAAAAGTGTAATTAATGTGTTGCCCAATTGTCACGAGAGAAACGCTCACGCTTCCTCCCGATTTTATTTTAAGGTGCTGGTACGAAAACCTCATGCACATCTAAAATAAAATCAAGAATAAAACGATACATTGGAGGAATGTATTTGTATATCATGGTGAATTTTACAATAACAAATTCATTCCATATTCCATATGGCTCCAACGATTATTATGTGATTATCCTTTTCCCACACACGTACTCTCCAGCATGCATCCATCGATTACCCACATCTATCGCGAGTTTCTGTGTGATGCCGAAATAAACGTTGTAAAACACTGTATATCTATATAGAAACAGTTCGTTTCTTTGATTTTGCGTCTTAACACCGAGACTGCATATATCATAAATAGAAATGAAATCCAAAAGAATCTGCATAAAAGGTAATCTATCTCTATCTCTCTTTCTCTCTCACACACATTCTCTCTCTCTCTCTCTCTCTCTCTCTCTTCGTCATTCCTCTCCTTATATACCATTTGCACGCTTTGCATTCCGCACTTCCACGATTTTACATTTCAGTCTCTTACGCTACTACTTTCTTCTCTTTATACCTCTCGCATTCGATCGTACAGTCGTCAATGATGATGTTATCAATTATAGCGATAGTAATAATAATTCTGAGAATAAATCTCAATAACAATAATACAAATAATATATGTGGTCATAATATTATTATATAATAATACACCTTAAAAACGTATGTACAATTCACCTACCCATGTTTTTAAGTATCAATAAGATTCTGCTACATGTACTACAGATGAGAAGTGGAATAAGAGTTGCTTTAAATAATTACTTTTTACAAAATTACATTACAAAGTGGGCATATTGAAAAATCTGAGCGAGTTATCTATCTACCTAACTATCCACATGTACAGCTGCTAGGATTAGATTTACGCGGTGGCTTTATTACAGCTAGAGACTACCGGTAAAGTATATGTTTCACTTTATGTTATGAATAATTATTGCCATTGCAAAACAGAATCTTTAATAAATCAAGACGTTCTACTGAATGCAACATATATATTTATGTATGCGTATACATAAGTATATGTATATACATTTACAAGTATATACATGTACACACATACACACATACATATATACATATATGTATCATCACCGCGCACTACACGATTCACGAAGAATTTTTGTTCTCGTTCAAATAATATATAAATAAATCATATGATCGCATATAATCTACATAAATAATTTAGTAACAATGCTGTGTGCTCTTTGAGATATGTATCGTCGAAGACTGACCGCATCATCGATACTAAAAACACACAACCTTCGCGACAAAAGTCCATGATATTCACAAAAAGAAACCACGGAAAGAAACAGCTGACTCGGTTCCTTTCTAAAGAGAAAAAAGATCGATTATGCATCAAATACGCATAGTCACCGTAATGATATCAACTATATAAACTCTCACCTCTCTCTCTCTCTCTCTCTCTCTCTTTCTCTCTCTCTCTCTCTCTCTCTCTCTCTCTCTCTCTCTCTCACTTTTTCTTTCTTTCTTAACATACTTTACTAAAGGAGGGTCACGAGCCTAAAATGCTGCGGACTGCCTGGTCCAGCGCAGTGTCCTTAGAGTCACCGGATTGCGACGTGTTGCCGTTACCGCTACTGCCAGACAGCGTATTGGCGGGACGTTTCTTAAGATTAAGGATGCTGTCGATAGCAGACTGCACCTGCGCGGTAATATCGTCATGCTCGTTGCCGGCGTTCCCGCCGCTGTCATTACTCGCCACGTGTACGGCGCTCGGACATTGCGTCTGTGAGTGCAGAGCCAGTCCATCCAAGCTGTCGGTATCCTCCAGAAGATCTCGCTCGAGATCGGTGGCACTGCTCCAACGCTTCTCGAAGCTCGGGGCAGAGCTGTCCTGCTCACAGCTGTCCTTCATGATCGCATTCGAGATCCCGGACACGACACTCGCATTAACGACACTGCCACGGCACTCGCCGTTTGCTCGTGTTCTTTCGATCTTCGACGACTTCGCGACAGTCACAGCGCACGCACTGCTATTACCACCGCCATTATTACCGTTTTTACACTTCAACGTATCTGTGCTAGATGGGTAGACGCCCAGTTCCTTCTGGATCTCTAACCACTCGTCGTAATCACCACTGGTACTGCTCGACGTCTTAATCACTGGTTTGCATTCCATCTCGTCACTCGGGAAGTCGTCCTCTAACTCGCGCTTCACAGATACGCTCACCAAAGGCGGTGACGTCGTTAACTTGTCCTCTTCCATGAGGCCAGGCTCGACTTTTGGCACCAACGGTTTCTCTTCCTTCTTGAACTCTTCTACAAAATAGCGATATATGAAAAACGTTTAAAATGTAAGATTCCCTTGTGCAATCTTGTAAAATATATAACTTAAAATGACATATGCTTTCGCAATTTTATCAATTTGAACAATTGATCGAACACATGTGCTATTACCATTAACTTTGGCCTCTTGTTCTCGTAACCTATTGAGGATACTTTGCTCCTCGGCTACGAATGTCCTATCGATCATCATTAGTTCCGATGTCTTCACCTCACGCTGTAATTCAATTTTGAAGAGTTTAGTGATACTTTTAATTACGTTTATACGCGGAGGAAAAGAGCTTGAAATTTTTTTATAAAACAAATAAATTTATAATATTGAAAGCAAAACAATAATAGTTAATAATATTAATCAGTTTGTACATAAAGCAAATATTATAAAGTATCAAATGTATGAAACGTTTCATGTGTACAGAGAAATTCTGAAAATGAGTTGAACATACAAAATTGCAGGTATTATTATTATTATATTATTGTTGTTGTTGGTTGTTATTATTATTATTATTATTATTATTATTTATACCGTGCTCTCCATCAGCAGAAGGTACGTGTATTTATTCATCATGGCGTTAAACTTGCTGAGCAAATGCTTAGCAGTCTCCTCAAATATCTCGTCCGCATAATCCAAGTCCTTGGGGCTGAGTACCTGCTCATTTAAACAATGATACCTTACCAAACGTTTGCAAGCGTCGCCTTTGCTCAAAAATGGTGTATTCATATCCGGATTCGTTGCGCCATTTTGATCCATTTTTAGCTGTTGCTCCATTCTGCAAGGCAACGATAATCGATTAAGCACCAATGTCACAATGAAGTCCCCGTTTAAAGATCACAACATTACAACTCGGGCGTGAGCTTGTTATTATGCATGACTATTTTATTATATTTACTTATTTATTTGCATTATGCATACTATGCGAATAGAGATACGTACAAATCGTTGCGATTCAATTGCCTATTGCAAATCGGACTAGTTGCAGGTCGCTTTACGCCTTGCCTTGGACTTATCAAGGGACTACTGCTGGGACTGACGAGCTGTTTCGTCGTGTTGCCGCCGGTATTCACCGGGCTCTGGATCCTCTGTGTTCCCTTAGTTATCATTCTCGGCGAGGTCACCTGACTGGCAGGAGAGCTAGTCTGCACCTGGACTTGAATGGGAGAGGAAAGCTCCTGCTTCACGGGACTAGGTGTCTGTATGTTCGGCTTGATATCCAACGGATCAGTTTGACACTGCGTGGACTGTTGCTGCATGCCGGTCTGTTGCGTCTGCACCGACGTCAATTGCTGTGCGTTGCTCTGTAACGGCGGAGCCGTGGTGGAGATCGGCGGCGTGAAGATCTGCATGTTTGTCGCGGAGGACGGATTCAGTGTCTGGTTCCCGTGGTTCTGATAGAACTTGTGCTGCTGCTGTTGCTGTTGATGCTGCTGCTGCTGCTGCTGCTGCTGTTGCTGTTGATGCTGCTGCTGTTTAGGATGCTGCGTTTGGTGCATGCTCTGTGTCGCAGTGTTCAACACAGTCTGCTGTCCCTGCTGCGCGCTCTGTTGCACCTGTAACAAACGCGATCGTAACAACATCGCGTCTTGGCACTTAGCAATAGCTGCAGTGTACAAAAATATATAAAGAGAAATGATTATCTCTTTGCAGTGGTCGGAATTATTATTTTGAGCCATTCTTTTACGCTTACCGTGATGTTATTATTAATGTAACTGTTAATCGAGTTACTCGGTATCGACACCGACGTAGCGGGTTTCAGACTGTGAGACGTGACCGGTATAGCAGCAGTGGTAGTCTGTGTCTGAGTTTGCACTGCCGACGTTTGGTTCTTAAACGAATTTTGTAGATGTATACTCGACGCTACGGTCGAGACTACATTTATAGTGAAACTCGTCTCAGCAGCCTACGCACGGAACAAACGATGCTCTTTTAGAACACAAGTTTGCTCAGTCGGAACTTTGTATATATTTTGTCATTGCAGCAGCTTGCGTTAGAATTCGCATTCGTCACAATTAACAATAGTAACGTATGCGTTATGGTCTGGTCAGCTCAGATCAGATCGCGAGCGATATCTTAATCTACTTACTCTATTGACAGAATGTGTAGTGGTGCTAAGAACCTTGCCGCTGGCTATTATCTTCGTTTGCTCTTCGTATAATTTCGTCAATAACGCTTGATCGCATTGTCCGCTGGACTTTCGCGACTGCATAGCTTGGATTTGTAACTGGATGCTCTTCAGCAATTGCTGCTTTTGAGCAGTTAGCTGAATAGTCTGCACTCTTTGTACCATTTGTCCATTCGAGGGAACTGACACGTGGCCGCCAGCGGAGGATGAGACCACAGGACCATTGGACATGATTTGAGTTGGCTCGCTCTTAACAGTATTTGTACTCTGCGATACCGTCGCGCAGAGTTTGTTGAGATTGTCAATTTTCTGCAGATTGGACGTGTTACTTGTGACCATCGTCGGCCGAGTAACGGCTATTGTCTTCGTAGCCTATAACGTGACGATAAAATCGCAAGATCATGCAACAGGAAACATTCAACATGTTTCATTTGTACCCTTTGCGGACTGTCTATAGACGAACGAAAAAGAATGGCTCAAAATAATATTCCAATCATAACGTATATCGTATAACAGAAAAAAAATGGCTCTTCAACGTGTGCTTTGAAAGAATGTGGCTCAACAGAATGTGTCTGCAAAGGGTGAGAGGGACTTTTAGTAATCATCAGTGGTGATTGAGGAGATATTTCGAAGAGAAATAGATCAACTAACTCTTCAAATTCAAGCGCGGAAAGAAGAGAAGCAGGGAACAAAGAGATTGGGAAGATGCAGAAGTAAGACACAATCACACACGTACTTGAGATACGATGCTCTGGGTGCTGGCGGCAACCTTCCTCTTCACGACTTTCGTTTTCTTTGGTTGATTATTACCTAAGTTTCTAATTTGTTGCTGATTCAGGTTGTCAATGAATTGACTAGGAAAGCTAGAATTTTGTATCTGTATATGGTGCGGCATCTGCGACGGCGCCGCCTGCACCACAATGTTCTGAATATTGTTCTGGATCGTCGGGGCCCCGCCAGAGCTGTTGACGATTATTTGGCTCGTCGGGGTGTTGATCTGGACGCCCTGCAGGTTCTGATTGTTTGCGTCCGGCTCGCCAATCACGATCTTCTGCGTTTGATTTTGATTCTGCGGCTGACTCGTCTGATTCAGCTGATTCAGCTGATTCAGCTGCCCGGCCAGGAACTGCTGTAGCAGCTGCTGACTGATCACCTGCATCTGGCCGTTCGCGTTCGCGATCAGCAGCTGATCGTTGGGATTCAGGTTACTCAGCGCGTTCAGGATCTCCGGTGAGATTTTCGGTGCGTTGTTCAGTATGTTGTTCGCCGCCGAGTTCAGCATAGTCGAGCCCTGTGTCGTCGTCGTAGTCGTTGTTGTCGTCTCCACCTTCTGAGATTCGTTTTGTTGGGTGCTGTTGTTGGACGTGGGGGCGGACGTGATTAGTATATTCTGGGCATTCTGCGGCGTGTTGGTGCCCTGCTGCACCATGTTGCTTCCCTGCTGCTGCACCACGTTCGCCGTCTGCGTATTCTGCGACTCAAAGTGATGCGCGTTCACGGACGAGAAAGTGTTCGCCGACAGGACCTTCTGCTGTTGGACATTCACGTTTTGCTGCAAGCCCGTGTTGTGCAAGACGGCCGACGTGTTCTGCTGCTGCAGACTTGTCATAACGTTCTGCGGCGGCATCTCGTTAATGCCCGGCTGCAGACTCTGCTCGATGCTCGGGACATTACTAGCCGTGTTTTGCTGCAACACGTTGATCGTGTTCTGCTGGATACTCGAGTGCTGCAGGACGTTCATGGTGTCGTGCTGCAGAGTGTTGCAAGAGGTCTGTTGCTGCTGCAGCATATTCATGGAATTGTGGTGAATGTTTGATCCCGAGCTCTGCAAGTTTTGTTCGAAGATTTGCTGCACGTTCTGCGTCTGCACGGTTTGTGCGGTGATCTGCTGATTGTGCTGATACAACGGTGAGTCTTGCTGCAGCGTCATAGTCTCCTGCTGGCTAGTTTGCTGAAGATTCTGATTAACCTTGGACATGTGATCGCTCTGTATCGTCGAGCTAACCACGGGCAACGTCTTCTGAACATGGGCGGCGTGCTGTGTCTGCTGCGCTTGTTTACCCAAGGTCTGTCGTACGTTCGTGCCGATACAAGCGTTCGCAAGTCGCACCTGACTAGACTTCTGCAGAGAGATGTTGGGATTCTGCTGATTGGAGTTAGCCTGACTCACATTTGGCATACGGGGACCTTGAATGGTGAACGCTGCGGGCGAAGGCTTCAACACGTCCGAGACGTTGAGAGGGGCGTTCAACGGCTGAATACCCTTGGCCTGCATCAGGTTTTGCACGTTGCCGCTCTTCGACGTCTGTATGTCCAGCGGCTGCATGGAACCGAGGTTGTTCTGGACGCAGATGTTCGGTAGCGAGTTGGTGGTTTCCTGCTGAACACCTGTGCTCTTTTGCTGCTGGCTGATCGGCTTCGAACATATCTGCCCGTGGTGCGGACTAGTGGTACAAATGACGTTCTGCGAACACGTAGAGCTCACGGTGTTGGTGGAGACCTGGTTGCCAGCGGACAAAGACGACTTGACGTACTTCTGCCTCTGCGGGATTGTGTTTTGCGTGGACTGCGGCGTGCTCGACGCTTGGCTGAAGAGCTGCGAGATGATTTGCGAATTTTGACCGCCGCTTTGAGTGAGAGACCGTATCAACGCCTGCGCGGTCGCCTGGTCGATCTCGGGTTGATTGGGTTCCGGAGTATGATGCAGGACCACCTTACCGTCCTCGCCGACTGACAATCGCAAGTGCCCCGAGATCGTGTTTTGCACTGGCATCTGCAGCTGGGCGACCAGCTGGCTGTTGAACGACTGTGACACGGGAGCTTGCGTGTTCGTTGTATTCGATGCAGGTACTTGTGTTAAACTCGGAGTAGAGCTAGCAGGAACTGTTCCTTGCGACGGGAGCTGGCCCAGAGGTATCACGGTGTTAGACTCGCTCTGCGACGTTTGACAAGAAACATCCGTTTCAGTCGTCAGGTCGGTATCAAAAATATCATCGTCGTCTCCGATACCGGATATTTTCATAATACTGGCAAGATCCAATTTTGGTGGCTCGTCGTCTTTCCGCTTGGCCTTTTTCTTCTTTTTCGCTTTCTTTTTCGGAGGCGGCAACAGACTCTGATCCACGACGGTCTGTGTGCACGAGGTGTTGCCCGTAGCATTGCCGGATGTAACTTGCGACATTTGCGGCTGGGGACTCTGCACCATGGCGTTTTGAATCACGATGGAATTGCCCGTACCTGAGTTAGCTGCGAAGCGAAAAAGAAACGATAGAACACATTAATATGTCAACCGAACCTTTTCAATCACGCATGCAACCGTTACGTTGTTTACGTCGTGCACATCACGATATATCTTTCTCGTTAAACTTACATGGCGCTGGACTAGACGGGGTGTGTCTTATCACTGGGGAAGCAGCTGGAGGAAATCCATTAGGTACAGCGAAAAATGTGGGCGCGATTCCCTGCAGTTGCATACCTTGAGCTGTGACGACCCTCACCAACTGTTGTTGTGTTAGCTATAATTATATAAGTGGTACTTCATCAATTTCACTCGACTCGTTAAATGTTTACTTTATCGTGGTACGATCCGGGAAACCTTTGATCAAATCATTATAGAAAATGAGAAATGTGTGTGTGTGTTAAAATTTGTGTGTGTTATGGTACTTGTGCAAAATTTACAATTTTTTAATCAAACTTTATTTTTTTAATTGAATAATATTCTCCTGATAACAACGAGAATTCGCGAGATTTCTGTTTCCATCGGACAGTGCATGATTGCGCCTTGATATATTGACGGGAATTTAGTAAGCGATGATGATGAATGCGAATGTAAGGAAATGCAATGGACAGGTGAATGAATGAATGAATGAGTGAGGACCATCACCTGTGCAGTGTGTGTTTGTTGCTGGGCGCTTGCTGGCGTCCTTAGTATGAGTTGAACGCCACCTGGCTGCTGCTGTACAATAACAGGTCCAGTCGACGGCAACACCTATGTACCAAATGTAACAAACATATGAAGCATAAAGCAACTCTTTCACTGATATATTTGAAACACATACAAGCGGTTGAGATAAGTATACAGCGTATCGAGAGAGAGAGAGAGAGAGAGAGAGAGAGAGATATCACTCGTACAATATAGCGTGACATATATACTTTCTGTATGTAATTACAACAATGGACATGCAGATGATAGGTATATAGTCGAATATAGAAACAAACGTGAATCGACGTTATATTAACCTGATTCAATAGTAGACCTTGCGCCGTGGGTATCATTGCTGTGGTAGGACTTGGCTGTGGCCCAGCGAGAACCAACTGTGGCTGAGTTTGCTGCGTTACCTTCAACAGAAGAGATTTACAGAATTCGATACATCATCGCCGTGCCGCATTGCATTAAATCGCAACAAGACACGCGATTCAGTCAGCTTTGCTGAGGTGAGGTCATTAGGAAGCGAGCCGTACCTGATTAGTGATTGTGGTGGTGGTACGTTGTGGCTTCTGCTGGGAAGTAGTGACCTGCTGATTCGGTGGTTTCGGCAAGATTTGCTGCGGTTGTTTGGCCGTCTTGGGAGGTGTCGCTATTTGGATTTGTTGATTCCCAAATAGATGCCTGGTCACCAGTTGAGTCGGAGTCGACTGATAACCCTGTGGTGTGCCATGAATTATTTGCAACACTTGCATACCTTGTTGCAATATAGGCGTATTAGGCCTAACCTGGAATACAAAAGGTACAAGTTGTATCGTCGATGGACATCTCACCGACCTCCGTTAACCGCGCTCTACCATATAAAGCAAAGGGGCGATAGAACGTAAGCGACACAAGCAATACAAAACACAGGATTCAGCACTAGAAGCACGTTTCTGTTTTCTTTTTTTTTTTATTTTTTCTCGAGAAAGAAGATAATTAGTGACAGTGCGTGTGTGAAATGCCCTTACCACAGGTGGACCAGGACTACCTCCGGGTGCTGGGCTTCTATTGTTGAGAGAATTATTCCCGCTCAAGAGGTGCGGACTTTTTGCGGGGGGATACGGGCTAAGTACAGGACTCTGTATTTGGCTAACGCTCATCGGACTCTGCATGGGGCTTTGCATTTGTATGTTAAAGTTATTGTTCGAGGTCGACGTCCCGACTGGGCTCGGGCTGTTCCTATTCGACTGTATAGAGTTGGACGCCGGACTTCGAAGTAACAGTCGATTAGGGCTAGGGCTCGGCGTAGGCGGCGCTATGTTGGACGCCGGGCTCTTCAAGGGTATCGAGAACGGGCTACCCGGCGAGCTAATGTTTTGGCTCTGAATATTCTGCATAGACTTAACAGTATTCATAGTACTGACCACATTCGACGACTGTGTCGTGCCCGTTAGTGTTACCGACGAGCTTAAGCCAGGGTTTATTCCCTGCGGATACTGTCGCTGTGGTTGAAATCCCGTCGACTGAGAGGAACTTAAAGAAGAAACATGACTCAATGACATAGTCGGTTCGTTGGACGCGGATATATGTTGTACATTCGACGTCGATATATTGGACAAGTTGGAGTGCATTGTAGCGAGGTGCGGTATGTTCGTAGTGAGATTCACGTTCGAAGCGTGATTCACATTCGCTGTGGTTGCATGGATCGATTCACTGGGAGTGCTCGTGAATACGCTGGGGCTCGTCAAAGTTGCCGAGTTCGAGATTTGTGGAATTGTTGAGACACTCGAGTTGGGATGTTGCGATATGACGGAGCTTGGTACATGTGCTATATTTGATGATCCGACAATGTGTGGTGCGACAGTCTGAATGCTCTGTATTGTTTGGAATGGGAACTGTGTGCTACTAGAGTTCAATGTAGTCGACGTTAGACCAGTAGTCGCCAGGGCATTCGCAGGTCGGCTGAGACCTTGATTTATACCAGAATTTATGCTGGTATTCGCCAAATTTGCATTCGGATTGATGGCGGGCAAACCAGACACGCCGGAATTTGCGGCGCTCAGATTGGTATTTAACGTAAGATTCTGATTTATACTCGATGAATTTAAGTTCGCCAAATTTGGACTCACACCGGACAGTCCAGTGTTCACTCCGGATAGGCCGGAATTGATACTAGCCGAATTTATCGTGTTGCTTATCCCGGTATTTATCCCGGTATTTATCCCAGTGTTTATGCTATTCAAATCTTGTCCCAAATTGGACAAACTGTTGTTAATATTGTTCGAACCAATGTTCGAATTGATAGCATTCAACTGATTCAGGCTAGGATTTATCGTGGCCAGCCCCGTATTTATGCTCGGTAAACCCAAATTCAGCAGAGGATTCGTCGTGGTGATAACATTGGAGGTGAGAGATGTGAGACTGGTATTTAGAAGTGACAGTGGCAATCCCATATTAAGGCCCACCCCAAAAGTGGGGGTGGCCGGGGGTAGGCCCATACCAGTCCCCGAGGGATTTATGGTACTCTGATTCAATTGATTCAACTGATTTACGTAGACTATGTGATTCCCTGTCGTCGATCCATTCCCTTGGTCTTGCGGCTGCAAGGATGAGAGGAGCATTAAAATAACATTCCTACGTGTTCATCGAGTGAAATCGAGCTAACTGATCGCCAACGAGAACTCACATTATTCGATGTTTGTTGCAAAGCAAATGTTAGTGACTGACCACTGGTATTCTGAGCCTGTAGTTGTAGTTGATGCAACTAAAGTAAGATTATCAAATATTAGATTGCCATTGACCACATCCCTTTATTGCATGCTTGAACTTGAATTTCTTACTTGTTGTTGGGTCAAAACGGCAACTGAACTATTACGGCGTGCATTCGGGGAAGTTGTAGAGGATACTGAGTCCCCAAGAAGAGGGCGTGACTGAGGCTGCTGCATGCCCACGCAGCCCCTCTTTACTACGGGCAGCGTCTAGCTACCTTTTCAGCTTATTTTGTTCTTTCCACTAAGCTTTCCTATTAATATAAAATTAATTATTAAAATTAAATATTAAAATTAATATAAAATTGCATCTCATTCATAAGCTTATAAGAAATGAACTAAGATAGATTTACACAAATGCATCATGTATATTACTTAGAACTTCAAAATGTTACTCGATAAATCATAAAAGAAAATTTCATTTGTTGAAATCAATAAGATAAATATTATTTTGAGAAATATAATCAAGAGATATATATCTGAATAAATGTTAATTAAAATTTTCAATACTCAGAGGACTAGTGTTTGCAAATGTCGGATAAAATAGGTGCATTCATTTACGTCAATGGTCTCCAAGATATTAAAATACTTTCTACCTGCTATCAAAGTTATTTTATAATTATAACGACATATACGTTTAATCCTGTACCGAATATCACTGATGAAGAAATTATATTTACCAAACTTTGGTTAGGAGCAATATTTGCGTTTCGGCGCCACTCAACGCGTCTACGGCCTACGTCTCCTGTTCCTGTCATGCATATAATTTCGTGTTTCTTCTAACACTCAGACAGCACTCACTGAATTCCCCAGTAGATACTTGTATCCACTTGTATTGTTTACGTCACTTTTAAAGTTCGTGCATGAATACTAATTGCGCTTGGCTGTTATATGCATTGCTCTGTTGCACATTGAAAGTAGTTCTGTTCAGAACTACTTTATCCGTTGAAGAATAACTGCTCAATCTCATTGTGTATATATCCTGACTTATATCTAAAGTACACTTGTCGCAAGATTCCACCCATTTATAAATGTAGCGAAGTTACACTTGTCCATGACAGTACATCCAAGATGCACACAGCAAACAATATGTAGTGTCACCTTATTGGTAAATTACTCTTTTGCATTACATATTATCCCAGGTCCAAGAAGTAACTCGCAAACATTCTTGAATATCTGTCAGTCGTCTACAGTATAATGTCAACACAGCATACCTTTTCACGTGTAATATTCATTAGAATAACGACTCCTTGTTAAGAATGTCCCTATCGTCGTTACACACACTACACTTCTGCCTGCACCGTTTTCGCTCCTTAACTCTACCCTGCAAAAAGAAAACGGAGAGTCAGTTTAATTGCCATAAACTCAAAGCTTATGCAAAGGTCTACATAATCCGGGGAGTTTCTTTCGACTCTATCGTGATTAAATCGACGTAAACTCTAAAAAAATCCCTCTTGCAACAGGGATGTACGAGATACGGAAGAGACGGTGCGATGTGTCACGGGTGACCATGCATGCCCGCATTGCCGCGAAACGTTAATCTTATGTTCGTACGATAATTTTGAGTAACAGGTCGATCCCGGCGAAATAATTAGGATCTCGCATGAGAAATCGACAGCTGGAAGCATCTTTTGAGGTTATAACTGGCGCGCCTGTGTGCAAGCATACGTGCCACACAGGCCACTAACACGCTTACGGGAGTCACACACATCTCACTCTCACTTACGGGTACTAGCAGCGGCGCGCGGTTGCACACAACAAAAGCCCAACTGACAAGGCGTAAACAAAAGAAAACGCGAACATTCGATGGAAAATTCACGGTCCGAGAGGCCGGACAGGCCCGCGGGCGGCACCGCGACACGTGTGTTTCGTATCGACGCGCAAAAATGCGCGTAGCGTCGCGACGAAAAATTGTCAATATTACCTCGGCGAACGCGGTTTTGCCACCCCGTGTTTTCCTCCTGGGAATTTTCGGCCACGCGCTTACACTCGCCGCGCGATCCCACGTCCCGCCACAACCGGACAGCACCTCGCTGAAACGAAAACAATCGCACACGGAGCACGCGCGACGCTATATTCTGCTGAGAATAATAAACTTTTTCAGTTACACGACACAGTTCCATGTACGCGTTACACTATTCGGTGGCAACGGCCATCATGTATTTTGTCAAGGCTGCCATTAGCGCAGGCAGGTTTATAAAATCCCAGCCGCCGCCAACATTGGCGACACCTCAGCTTCAGTTAGGGCGCCATAACTTTTTGCAACATTCGGATGTGACTCATCTGCATGCTGATTGGTTGGCAGTTAGGGCATAACCAGTAATAATAATCTCAAGTTATAACTTCCATTTGATGCTTCCAATTGAATCGATGTATCGATAAGAATTGGACTTAAGCACGTGTGAAGTATGTGATTGCAAAACGTTAAAAAATTATCAAATTCTATGAAAAAATTTGACTTTTTATTTAAGCATCGAAATCTCAAGTGAGGAATAGTAAAAATAATAAAAAGATAATGCATTTATTTTTCTTGTTGTTTATTTATCACGTATTTTAATTGGATGTGTAAATTATCTTACATCATTATATTTGTATTTTTAGAACAATTAAATTTTTTGCAACATTCATACGCAAATGAATTCTTGATATTTCTAAATTATGATTTAGGAATTTTTACGACGAATATATCGCATCTAGTTAAACATGATGTGACATAAATTTCAAACCCCCTAGAATTAGAAAGAGACAGGGATATTTTTTTAAAGTTACCTCTCTTTTTTATGCAAGAGGTCTGTGTTTTTTATAACTAGTATATTACTTTCCGTATTTTATAATTATCGCATGAAATTTCTATTTCTCTCTGCCTTCCACCGAGTGTCAAATATTGTTTTACTTCATATTAGTATTGAATAAGTGAAATTTAATACAGCTAGAAAGAACAAACCTAACAATTACATAATGGAACACACTTGCCAATATTACTAAAATTTAGGGTATCTGATTTATAAGGGAGAGTGTCCCTTGGTTGGAGAGAGCTGTCAATCATACAGGTTAGGTTAGATTGGATATTCACAAGTATCAATATTAGAGAATATTTTTCTGCTAAATCTAAAATATTAACTCCACTAATTACTGCTAACTTATTAACTCATATCAACTAGTTTCAATCATTTGGTTAAATAAAAAAAAAAAACGTCAATAAAGTGTTCAATATAATTTTCCACAGCAACTGCTGAAAATGTTATCAACAATTGTGAAAGAACACCAGAGCAAGCAAGCAGCAAGGAAAGAAAGACAAGGTAAATTAGAAAGATTATATTTAGTTTGTTCGTACTAAAAATATATATTAAAATTTGTGACTGATTTAACAGAGCAAAAACGAAAAGAAGCTGTTCAGGCTGCCAGCAACTTGACTCAAGCGCTTGTTGATCATCTAAATGTAGGGTAAGTGCAAAAAATTATTTGAATTTTAATATAATTTTTGCATATGTATGATATAAGGAAAAAAGTCATTAATATTCATATAGGGTGGCTCAAGCATATTTAAATCAGAAGAAATTAGATGCAGAAGCGAAGCAACTACAGCATAGTGCAACTAATTTTGCCAAACAAACACAGTTATGGTTGAATCTGGTGGAATCTTTTTCAAGTTCTTTGAAAGAAATTGGAGATGCTGAAAATTGGGCACGCAGTATAGAAGGAGATATGAGAACAATAGCTACTGCCTTGGAATACTCATATAAAGGTAATAAAGAATACTAATAAAATTATACTAAGTTATAACTAAATTATACTAAGTGCGCAACTAAGTTTCCAGGTTTTTTGATCAATGAAAAATGGAAAATTTCAAGAGAAATACAAAAAAATGGTTTATTCAAAGTATCGTCCCTCGCTAGCTACACATTTTTGCCATCTCTCTGGCAATACATGAATACCGCGACGACAAAACCACGCGTCTTTGGACCGAAACCATTCATCCAACCAATTATGCACTTCTTCGAAATTGGCCAAGTGTTGCTCAGCCAAACCATGCGCCATCGATCGGAACAAGTGGTAATCGGTAGGGGCCAGGTCTGGCGAATACGGCGGGTGCGGTAGCAGATCCCATTTCAGCGTTTTGATGGTGTCCTGGACGATGGAAGTGCGAGCGTTGTCGTGCTGCAATATCATTCGCTCGTGTCTCGTGTTCCATTCTGGCAGTTTTCCGAGCAATACATGGCTCAAATTGATCAGTTGTCGGTAGCGATGCCCATCGACAGTTTCGCCCGGTTTCAGCAGCTCATAGTACACGATTCCTTTCTGGTCCCACCAAGCGCAGAGCATTGTCTTCTTTCCGAAGCGATTTGGCCGTGCCGTCGATGTTGATGCTTCGCCAGGTGAAAGCCACGATTTTTTGCGTTTGGGATTCTCGAAATATATCCACACCTCATCGCCAATAACAATTCGATGCAGGAAACTCTTTCTTTCATGCCGCAAAAGCAAAATTTTGAAAGTGGCTCTTCGATTTTCCATCTGTCTCTCAGTCAACTCATGCGGCACCCATTTTCCTTCCTTTTGAATTTTTCCCATGGCATGTAAACGTTTGGAAATACCTTGGCGAGTCATGTTTAATGCCTCCGCAAGTTGATCTTGTGTTTGCGTATCATCTTCATCTAATAACGCTTGCAGATCGGTGTCCTCAATTGTTTTTGGTCTTCCGGAGTGCTCCTTGTCCTCAGTGTCGAAATCGCCACTTCTGAAGCGTTTGAACCAATCTTCACAGGTAGTTTTCGATAGTGCATGTTCGCAGTAGGCCTCCTCAAGCAAACGACGTGCTTCAGCTACACTTTTTTTTCAAGTTAAAGTAGAAAAGCGAAGCTTCCCGCAAATACTGTTTATTTGGCACAAAACTCGACATCTTCGTTGTTAGAAAAAATATTTTTGCCTTGCTATATGTGTTGGTATTACGACTGGTTATTGTTAACAGATGTCCAAGCTATAAAAAAACACAACTTCAGACATGTATGTCGACTACATGCGTCGTTAGCGCAGTCCATGTGTGAAATCCGTAAACTTAGTTGCGCACTTAGTAACATATAACATATATATCTCCATGATAAAATATTTAAGATTTTGTTTTATTTTCAGCTACACAGGAAAATCAAAGTGTGGGCAATGTTTGAAAAGAACAACACCATATGTTATTGGTTTACAATTATATAAAAATTTTGTAATAATTCTGTGGTATAAAGGAGTTTGTGTTAAAATAAGATGATAGTATAATTTAAGTTATAAAGGAAAACATTTTGTACATAATTTTTCTTAGAATCAATATCATATTCCAATTAAAATAACTATGAGATTGTTCATAATATTGTTAAATATATTTATTCTTTGTTTCATCAATGCTATATTTATTTTTCATAGGGAACCGTTAAAATATTTAGCTCTTGTTATAAACGATTCTCATACCCGTTTCTACCAAGCTTTTTAACTTAAGTGGCTAATTATTCCAATGAAATTGACCAATCGTATTGTTGTCATTTATCAGTACAAATTTATCAGACAAATGTGATTGATCAATTCTTATGGAACACAGTCACCCAGTTAAATTAACCATAGGCCGCGTTCAGTAGACTCAACAGTTGGACAACATTACTAATTTTCCACCGAATCTCGCTCCTGATTGGTAAATACTTCTGGGTCTATGAAGAATCTAAAAGAATGCTCCAATCACAGACAATAATCACTAAGCGCTCTCTGATCATTTTGTTCTACTGAACGCGGCCATAGTTAATAGAAACGAGCATTAATGTTCAAACACAACGATATGTATATCTGTGTTTGATATCGTATACGCCATCTATATCGACGGACATTTTAAAGATTAATAAAAAATGGCAGCCGGTCCGATAGCTGAACGCAATCAAGGTATATCTTGATTTTTTATTCAAGTAACCCACTATTTTTAATAATTTCTGTAACTCAACTTAAAAATTATATTTTAAAATAAAGTTTGACTACAATAATTTCTTTCATCTTCACATTAAAAGGTTAATTAATAATTCGATTGAGGTTAAGTACCCTAAGTATTTAATAAGATTTAACTGTATGTTTACATATCTATGTACATATTTATCTATAAATGGATTTTAGTTACGTATTTATTATTTATATTTAAAAAATTTCAGATGCGACAATATATGTTGGAGGACTGGACGATAAAGTTACAGAATCCCTTATGTGGGAATTATTTGTCCAGTCAGGACCTGTTGGTATGTATATATATATATCATTTATGCATGTACGTTTTATGCAAGTATATACTTCTTAATATCCGGAGTTGTACATTGAGGCATGTTTAAAATATATCATATATAAAGTATAAGATATATGGAGTTCAAAATATAATCAATTTGTTTTTTTCAGTTAATGTACACATGCCGAAAGATAGAGTAACCCAGATGCATCAGGGATATGGCTTTGTTGAATTTATGGGTGAAGAAGATGCAGATTATGCTATTAAAATCATGAATATGATCAAGCTCTATGGCAAGCCTATTCGAGTGAACAAAGCTAGTGCGCATCAGAAAAATCTAGATGTCGGAGCAAATATATTTATAGGAAACCTAGATCCAGAAGTAGACGAAAAACTGCTATATGATACGTTCAGTGCATTTGGTGTAATTTTGCAAACTCCTAAGGTATGGATCATCAATCTTATCGCAAACAATTATGTATCACTAAAAATTCACTAATTTAGCTTTGCATTATAGATAATGAGAGATCCCGAGACAGGTAACTCCAAAGGCTTCGCTTTTATTAATTTTGCCTCATTCGATGCCTCAGATGCTAGCATCGAGGCGATGAATGGTCAATATTTATGCAATCGACCGATCTCGGTCTCATATGCGTTCAAACGCGACGCAAAAGGCGAGAGACATGGTAGCGCTGCAGAGCGACTTCTAGCCGCGCAAAACCCACTCAGCCAAGCTGACAGGCCGCATCAGCTCTTCGCGGATGCTCCACCACTGGCTCCACCGCCTATGCCGAACTCGAACGCGAGTGCTCACCAGTCGGCCCATCATCCTCAGCATCATGTCATGCATCATGGAATGGTCGTACCTCCGCCTCCGCCCCCGTCAACTCCAGGACCACCGATGGGTCATCCGCCTCCACCACCTGTGCCGCCACCGCCATCAGGCGGATTTCCACCCGCGAACATCCCTCCGCCACCTCTGCCCCCCATGTCTATGGCTGCCCATCCTCCTCTACCACCAGGAATGCCGCCGCCCTTGCCACCGATGCCTGTGCCAACCTCACAAGCGCAGCAGGCGGCCTCCAGGATGATAGCACCTCCGCCACCCCATTGGGCCGTAGGAGCACCACCTCAGGGTCAGTTCCCGCCACCCCCACCGCCGTCTTCTGCCGGTGGACCTCCGCAATTCGGACAATTCCAGCCACCACCGCCGAGGCCACCTCCTAGTTGGCGGCATCCGCCACCGCCTCCTGTTTCGCAAGGTGGCCCACCGCCTCCGCCCCCGCCTCAATTTCGCCCGCCCTTCCCGCCGAGGGGACCACCACCGCCACCGCCCCCGCATGACAACAGTCAATATTAGTGTTCGTGTTTTATCTGTATTTGCGTAGATATTAATATTCTCGCATTATCAATAAGTTTACGAAAGTTGCGTGTAAGTGCAACGATTCCTTTACTATCTATTACTTTTAGCGGCATTTTTTTTTAGAACTGATCGTCTATACGAATAAAAGTATTTAATATATCGATTATGGATTAATTATCTGAACACAAATTAGTTCTACTAAAGCTTAATAAAATTCTAAATATGCGCGGCTAGTGATGATTAATCGAATGCGGCTGAACGCTATATTAGCAGCGCACGGAGCGGTGACTAAAATACTATGATTATAATCGCGACTTCTGTCGCGGTCACTCATTCGTATCGATCGGCGGTGATGTGTGAATAACGACGTACTACGTTTATTCTATCGATTGTTTCGTGCTTGTCCGGCTCAGTCAATGATAGCGTTAGTCGAACACGCAGTCCACCGTTGAACAACGCCCTTCTGAGGCCCGCTGCGTCTCGGAGCATTTCGTGCAATCCGTTGAATATCAAACGCGAGTCACACCCATCCCAAGTTATTGCGAAAAACAAAATTCCTACGCGACACATCGTGACATTAATTCGGTGAGTAAAACGAACAGGTGTTAACGAGAGAGGAAGAGGATGGCTGAGAGAGTGAGTGAGTGAGAGTGAGAGTGAGAGAGAGAGAGAGAGAGAGAGATAGAGAGAGAGAGAGAGAAAGAGAGAGAGAGTTGGCTTGAAACACGTCTGAAAAATAACGTCGCTCGTCGTTCTTTCTTTTTTTTTTTTAGATTGTTCACGATCGACACACAATGTACTCTCCCATCGATCCGTTCTCGCCGGTAATCCGCTAGCTCACGAACGTTTTGTTATGAAAACACGAACGCTCGCATCACAGAGCGGATGAATTCTTAACGCGTGTCCTACGCGCAATGGAGAAACGAGGATTATGCGGAGAAAAGTGTGCTAGACATGGCACGTCTCTATTACGAGTGTAACTTGAAGCTGAAAAACGACAGCGCGAACAACGCGATCCTTAGGCCGTACGCATGCACCCCCGAGAGGCACTGCCTTTATTGCTGCTGTAATTTGCAGTGTTGCTTCGTGGTGCAACGACGGCCGCCACGTCATCTCTGGGAAACCTGGTACTTTTGGCTCGGCATTGCTTTAGTCGCTGTTTTTGTCATTTCTTCGGTGAGCATACATTCGTAGATCAATGAATCGAGCCTGTGTGTAACACGAGGCAGGGCTAACGTGCAGTTAGCCGAGCGTGTCGTGCTATAGTGTGTAGTCGCGCGATACATGTATATTATGTATGACATTATGTCGAATTTTTCATCCGGCGGAGAGACTTGAGAAATCAAACAAGAAGGCGACCGCCTGAACGTTGAGATTTTAAGAGGTATCTCTCTCTCTCTCTCGCGATGACGCAACGCGCTCTTTATACATATTTTAGATGCCTATCGCTGGTACACCACACCACTATTACTACCAGAACTACGTTCTGGCGCGCTCTACATTTTCTAATTCGCTCACGTCACACCGATCCATAAAGCGCTAATATTTCACATAATATATAACTTACGTCCACTTTAGTAAAGGGAGAGATAAAGTTTGTAGTCTCTCCCGTCTTTGCCGAATTTACTCGTCGTGCTAAAGAAACTTTTGACTCGTTTTTCTGCCAACCAGGTGAGCAGCTACATAGTCAGTAATTACAGACATAACATTCAAGGTGTTCCGTTCCGTCGTAATCCACATGTCAACACTAACGTACGGAATGACCGAGTCGATCAGCCGGCGGCCAATCGGAACCAAATATCTATAAGTATAATTCCCTCAACGGGGACGTTGTCGTCGCAAAGAAAGACGTTGGTGATCGGCGCGCAGCCGAGCGTCACGCATATGAGTAAGGGAGAGAGCAATGTCTTCTTCCCATTGTGATTTATTTTCCCTTATTCGCCTCTGCACAATCGCTATCTGTGTGGCACCGCACTTGCACATCGCACAGTGAAGCGCGACCACGATATCGGGGCAAAATGAATCAATCCGACGGAGAAACTCGCGTCGAATCGCAGCGAGTAATTGCAGTTAGTCGGTCGCACACTTTTCACGGTGGGATTACCCTCGCGAGCATAGCGCGAGCACGAGCGAACAATTTCCTCTTTCGCATCTATCCGCTGCTGAAATGTGCTGAAATATTGATTTATGTTTCAGCACCCGTCGTTGCGTAACGGAGCGCCGCTCTTCGTCGCCGATGCGTCGCGAGACCGAGAGACCGGAAAAAGCGCGACGTTCCAGCGGCTTGTATTTCAGGGCATCTACACGGTAATATACTTCGCGGACACGCATCGTCGTTACGTCGTCGTCTCCTCTCGTCTTCGTTCACCGGCGGCAGCGTCATTACGGACCAAACACTTAACTCGAATACACCTCTTTACTCTTTGCGCTTACGTGTAATAGCCAGTAGCGAACACCGTGAGGAATGAGCGAGAAGCGTCGCGAGGATCTCCGCGGATCTCCCGAAGACCTCGCCAAGAAGACTTCGTTTCGATCGACGTTGAAAGCGTGGCGATTTTTTCCCCGCGAATCTGCGACTCTCCGATCGAACGTCATGTCTCTCGTGGCGTAACATTATTCCAATATATTGCGTAGTATTTTGTACTCGTATGTGTGTGTGTGCGTGTGTAACGATAGAAAACATTCTCGAGAGTCGTATCAAAATGTCACCACTTCTCTCTCTCTCTCTCTCTCTCTCTCTCTCTCTCTCTCTCAGGAGATTTCGACAAATGCTAAAGCTCGTTTTCAAGCGACTCCATTTGCATGCGTTCGCGACAGCGGCGAAGGCAACAGTGATGGAAAAAGAATGGAAAAATGTTTCTTTTCGATTCCGGTTACGGATCACCGAAGCTAAAGCGACAGTAAGTAAAAATAGTAAAAATGCGTTCACGATTCGACGAGCTCGAGCCGAGGGTCGCGGGACCGCGGCGAAATCTTGTCTTCGGCTCAATTAGCGAAACCAATCGATTACCGTGATTACATTTTCATTATTCTCACTGTGCGAAGGCGCACAGCGCACAGCGATGTTCCGGCCGATCGCTCATTCGCGTCTACGATAATCTGCCGATCGAATTCGCGCGCGGGATGTGAGATGTGTTGCCCGACACACACACACACACACACACACACACACGAGAGCTCGGCTGCTACGTGTGCGTGTGCTGAAGCAGCGACGGTCTTTCCTGAAGTCATTATGTGAGAATTACAGGCCTCGGCCCGTTGATCGCGCGCCTCAACAGTGATTTCACCCGGCTTTGATCGATTTAAACGATTAACGCGTATTCTTTCGGCCAACATTTCACCAGCCAGCCGCCAGGTCTCGAGGGTGTGTGCGTATGTACGAGCGATGACGATAACCAGGATAACGATACGGCCTCTCCTCGCTGCTCGTTCCCCTCGGTACGCTCTCTCCAGGTCGTCGCGCGAGCAACCTGCTCGAAACCCGTTTCCTCAGCATCGCTCCGACCGGGCGCAACTCTCATCGACAATTAAGAAGACACGCCGGTGCGTGATCGTCCGCCTACCTGAACGGGGACGGGAGTAAGAGTCCAGAAGCTAATTAAAAAGGACGCTCCCGCTCTCGGAGAAATGGCCCGCTGCTGCTCCCTTACGGCGGTTCCTTGTGCCCTCCCCCTTCCCCTTCTCTCCCCCCGAATGTTCCTTTTCGCTCCTCTCCGTCGAGTAAACTCGCTGTCCTCCCCCTCCTCCTCCTCCTCCTCTTCCTGCGCCAGATCGAAATTAACGGGTTATTAAAGTAATGATTCTGCGTTATTAATTCGACCAATTAATTATCCGTCGTGGTATTTTTCGGGTGTTGCTTTTCCTTTTTCTGCATTTTCATCCTCCAGACGTCTATCGGACAATTTGCGACAGCTGACGACTTTAGCTGCTTTCGTTCCGCTTTCGTTGACCGACCTGATAATACAGATAAGAGGGACCTCATCAACGAGTAACGAACAATTAAGAGAGGCTCTCCTTCGCTCCGCGTGTGAAAATAACTCGGTTTTCAGCAACTTGTACTTCCCGATGATATCACGCGACCACCACTTACACTTTATCGCTCGCATTCGCTCGAATGTATCGTGCGGTCGACGCTAAATGGTCGGCACGAACCATCGGCTCGATGTTGTACAGAAGATAAAAAGGGTGTCAGTATTGGCGAAACGAGCGTCTCGTAATGTACATATTTTTGACATTTCACCGCAAAGTAGACCGATATTACGTTCATTCACGCGATGAGAACGCGATGCGAAGGCGAACTCGGTGGGCTTCTCGATCACACTTCAGGATCATCAGGATTTTTTTCTCTTAAAATACCCCCCACCCCCCCCCAACTTTCTTCCTTCTCATCGTCGCGACTCGCGGCGTGCGAGAATCGCGAGAAACTCGACACGCACGCGAAGAACGATCGGTCGATTAATACATTTCGGCAAGTTGCTCATACGTGAAAGAAAGAAATCCTTGTCGGTCCGGCGAGAGTCTTCACCGGCAACATCCGATTCGCAAGTCCGTGCGAGAAGAACAAGCGGTCGAAGAACAGCCGACGCGACCTCGTTAAACTGCAACCGAGCGTCATTCCGATAACCCAACTCGGCTTTTACTGTCTCTCTCTCTCTCTCTCTCCACGGAGAGGTCGATAAAGAAATGTACAACGAACGGGGGCTCTGGTTAATGTTGCATGCGCAGGAAACCAAGCGAGGAATCCAACGTCCCGTCTGCTGCGTTTCAAAAGCTAATGCTGTCTGTGCGCCGCGATTGAGTCATTGAGCGTCGATCAAATGGAAAAAAACGTTGCGCGCGGGTCTCCTCGGGCGGAGCCCCGGCATCGCCGTCCGATTTTCCGTCGCACGGCCGTATCAATCTGTCTACCTCTTGCGAGAGTGCGAACGGCGAGCGAACAGTCTGCGAAGAATCCGAAGCGTGCGTATCTTTTATTAAAAATTTCACTCGAGAGCGAAAATCCGCTCGAAGCGGCGGTAAAAGTACCACGCCATCGCGGAATCGCGAATATTTCAATCAAGTCCAAAATGGACGCCTGCTCCACATAAGAGAACGCTCTAATCAATTAGAGTAAATGTGTTTTTCGGAGACGGTGAAATATATTGTAGATTCGCTCTCCAATTTCGAACGGAAGCATTTACCCAACGATTCGGAGAATCCATAAGTGGAATCGCTCGGATTCGAGAGATTCGGCTGTTACTTGATAAATGCCGAGTGAAAGAAGCTCCGCAAAAAGGGTCGATTTTTCGCCCGTTTTTCGGACCTCGATTTTGGAATCGAATTTTATGCCAAAAGATAGTTCACGATGAGACATTAATTACAGAAAAGTTTTACGTTGGGCGTACGATTGGTTTGAAGGATGTAGAAGGTCAAAGGGTCACTACTTACTAAGAAAGTATGACACTAATAACGCTTTATCGCACGAATTTTTGCAAAATTCGTGCGATCTGTGGGTTCTTTGAGTTGCTGATTGTGAATCTGCTGTCAGATTTTAAAAATTCAAGATGGTAAGTGCAACATGGCGGACACACATAGTGAAACAATCATTTACTTTTATTGGATGGTTATATTTACTGTTATGTTGTGGTTTTTTCGGCTAGCTGATTGCGAATTTTCTAGTAGGTTTCCGAAAGTAATTTTTTCAACGACAATTTTTGAGCGGAAAAAGTACTTTTTTTCATTGTCTTTTCATAAAAAAAAATATCAAATTCAAATTGATACGTTACACGACGCATAAAGGATAACGTGATAGTTTTATTTGTTATATTTAGAAGCTTTTTCATTGCAGTTTCCGTGACTCTTTATAATTACATATCATTATATCCAATAATATAAAAGTTCACCTAAAATACCTAAAAATTCAGTTCTGAAGTTATCGATTTTAAAGTATTGAGTATTATAATTAGAGGAAAACACTACATTCTTTATCAAACAAGACCCAAATGGACACTGAAGGTAAATGTAAATCTGATAGAAAATTTGCAATCAGCTAGCCGAAAAAAACCACAACATAACAGTTCTAATGAAAGTAAATAATTGTCTCACTATTTGGCTGCGCTATATTACATCCGCCATCTTGAGTTTTTCAAATCTGACATCGAATTCGCAAATAATAACTCTCGCAAACAATAACAACTCAAAGAAGCAAATCAAATGGATACTGAATTTCGCAAAAATTCGCGCGACAAAACGTTATCAGTGTCAAACTTCCTCAGTAGGTAGTGACCACTCTGACCCTCTATATCTCTGAAACCAATCGTATGCTCAATGTAAAACCTTTTTGTGATTAATGTCTTATCATGAGCTATCATTTCGCATAAAATTTAATTTAAAAACCGGGGACTGAAAAACGGGCACTTTCTCCGGAGGTTCTTTCACTCCGAGGAAACTTAGCGAGTATTCCCTCACCTGGAAATCTCCATAAAATATCAATCAATAAAAGGATCTCTTGTCAGACAAAGTCAGTCGCACTTGTGCTCCGATACCTTCGTCATTGGTATTTTCCCCCGAGGTCCCCCCGTCAATTATGTTTTCGGCCCATTTCTCTCGTTCCTGTCCCACGCGCTGGCGATACTTTCGTCGATCGTGCCGATCGTTGGAAGACGACGCGTCCGCGAACACAACGGCGACGTAAATCGCGGCGTCAGCGTCGACGCCGCGATTACACCGAGAATATCTCTCGATGCAGGGGACGAAAGAGGAAGAAGAAAACGACGAGGCAGAAGAGAAGGACGATTCCATCGCACGCCGAGCTTCTTCGATTTTTCCGCTAACGAGGACTCCGACTCGCAGTCGCCGGCGCCGGCGAGGGAGCGTCTCACACCACCCTCTTCGGGCCATCGGGCGCCGTCAAAGCTTCGTTACACGTCCGGAGCGTCGACGTGGGATATCTCTCTTTCTCTCTCTCTCTCTCCCTCTCCCTCTCCCTCTCTTTCTGCCCCTTCGGAATATATAAAAGCGCACATGAGTCGGGGATGAGTCGGCGGGTGTGTTATTCTTGCAATAAATCGGCCGACTTTAAGAGCGCGCCGGCTCCCGTTCCGTCCCTGTCGCGAGCCACCGCGGGAAAAAGAGTCGCGCCAAAAGGACGGGAATAAATCGCGGCGACGCGCGCGCGCGCGCGATTCTTTCCCGCCCCGCGCACCGGCGGAATTCGCCGGCGGCGAATAATAATGCAGCCGATGACGGCATCAAAATAGATACCGGCCGGTAAATTGTCGAAATGGACGTGCGTCGACGACGCTACGCGGCGCGTCACGCAGCAGCGGGCGACGGTGACGACGCTCTTCCAGTGGGAGAAGCTGCTAAAATTAGAGGTGCTCACGAGAGAGTAGAGTTGAGCCGCGCGTTTCACCGGCATCATCATCATCATCCTCCTCCTCTTCTCCGGACGAGAACTCACTTCCGAGTAGTCCTCGGGACCGATTGGACGATATCCCGCGTGTCGCTTATCCGCTTATCGCGGCGCGTTACCGCGATCATGGCGATTCCTCGGGCACCTTCGGCACCGATAAGCGCGCTCTCGTAGACGTCGACGTTATCATCGAGAGAGAGAGAGAGAGAGAGAGAGAGAGAGAGAGACGGCAGAAAGGAAGGAGATGTCCGCGGTCCGAGAGATCATCGCCGGCCGATCGTTAGCCGGATTCTTCGTCTTCGCAGTGTGCATCGTGTCACTGACGTCCGGTCTCGCGCAGATCGCAGGTAAGTGAGATCGCACGTTCGTCGCACGTCGTCGTCGTCGGCCGCCGTCGAGCTTCTCTAATTGGCGAGGAACGCTCGTTAGAGACGGGGAAGAGACAAGAGAGTGAGAGAGAGAGAGAGAGAGAGAGGAACTGTTAATCGAACGTTCTTCTGGATGCACAGCGTGCGTTCGCGCTGATTCATTCTCGGGCGACCCTCTATCGCAGGAAACTGGGCTACGGGGTTGACGCATTGTTCAGATTTTCTCATGATTTCGCGCGGGGGGGCTTTGTTGTCGGGGCCGAGGGGGGACAGGCGCCGCGACGATATCTCGTGAAAAGACGCGAGCGTGCGTCACATGAGACATGTGTTTCTTCCCGCAGGGAGAAAGTGCGTGTGCACGAGCAAGGCCTGCAGGCAAACCGGAGCGGACGTGTGCAGCACCAGATTCTCCTGCTACACCGAGTTCATTTTGACAACGGGACAAGAGCTCGGTGAGAGCATCACCACGAGAGGATGCACCGAGTGTGTATATATCGTAAATCACTGTTTACGTTTCGCGGGCTCCGAGTCGGCATCGAGCGTGTCCCGGCCGCGCCGCGGCCGGCTGGAACAAAAGCGCGGGATTTTGCGAGTTTCCTCTCGAGTTTGCTCGGAGAAGCCGCATTGCGGCGGTAATCGCGCTAACGAAGCGCGCAAATTTGATTTTTCATTAAGGGCTAACGTCCGAGTGAACGCCTGAAAACACAGAGTAAGTTTGGGGATTTTTCGTAGTTAAGTAACAACATAGATGGAGAGTTGGTTTGAAGGCCTCTAACGTGCATACCTTGAACTACACAATTTTTTTTTGTTATTATTTTGCCTCAAGATGGCGGCGCTGAAGCTCTCCGAGTAAAAGCGCATTTTTTCTCATGAGTCCCCGCGGCTTGCAGCAGAAATGCCGTACACTTTCAAAGAGGACAAAAAGGCAAAGTTTTTGTTAATCTACATTAAATATGTCAGAGAAGTGTACACGTATATGTCGAAATATAAATTTTCGTAGAAACGGTGAACATTAGGAAAAGAAGTTTCAGTTTTATCCAAGGAACTCGGTGAAAAAATATTTATAATAACAAAACCGATCGTAAAAAAAGCATGTGTACTTCTCTAGCGAGAATTTAGTTTAGCAGCTACTGTAAAAATTTCGAGTGGATCGGATGAAATTTGTTAAAGTTCTGCTGCAAGCCAATTGACGAAAAACGTGCGGTTTTACTTGGAGGAGAGCTTCAGCGCCGCCATCTTGAGGCGAAATAATAGCAAAAAATTGTTTTGTGTAGTTTAAGGTATATGCACGCGTCAGAGGCCTTCAAACCAATTTTCCATCTATGTTGTTATTTAACTACGAAAAATTCCCAAACTTACTCTGTGTTTTCAGGCGTTTTCACTCGGATGTTGCCCCTTAAAGATATAAAAAGAGTCGCGATCTGGAGGTTTCGCAAGAGAGATCAGAATCTCTCGCGGCGATTAAAGCGGTGACATGTAAAGCAGCTTGAATCGAGTCCCGAGACGCAGAAGCGTGAAAGTAGGGGAGTGATGTTGCGCCTCCTCGCAAACAGGATTGAATTCGTCGCGATATCTCGCGGTGGGCCTCATCAACGCCGTAATATAAATTCAGGAATGCGTCACGTACGGCGCGTGCATAACCTTGACGGGATAATCGGCCGAAAGTTTCCGCGAGTTTCATTAAGCGTCTCGCTAACATTACTTATTCCTCGGCATCGCGCCGAGAAAGCGATTAGCGACGAGAGTTTCTCGTCTCTGAGACTCCGAAATCCGGATTACGTTGTTGCGCGAATGCGCGACTTCGGTTTTGATGTTCTCGCTCGTCGCCGTGCCGCCGTGCCGATTTCTGCTGCTTAACTGACAAGTTTAAAATCATCCCGAGAGACCGAGGGAGATGCATGCGACTTACGACGCATGCGATCGTCAGCTCGTTCCCTATCAGATGAACATATTGCATTTGTAAGATGACTTTGTGGACTCACGCTCTCGTCTCGAAATCGCACGCAGGAGTGCCACGCCGTTGCTGTGCGAGACCAAGTTTTGGGCTACGAGGTCGCGGTCGGCCAACAACGTGGAGCCACCGGCGAGCCTGTGGCTCCACGTGCCCTGGCTAAGGCTGGAGTGCTGCGACAGCCACGACTACTGCAACGCCGCCGACGACGACGGCGGCTCGAACGCGAGCACGTGGATGGCCCAGAGGAAGCTGTTGGACCCGCCGCGCTCCGCGCTGAATCTCGGCCCGCCGGAGAGCAGCTTGCCGGAGAATCGCGACGCGACGCCGACGATACGGGACGACCGGCAGCATGAGGATTCCGTGGAGCTCAGCAGCGATCGATTTCCGCGGGGCCGCGTCAAGGCGCTGCACGTCGCCGCCCTCGTCCTCGCCGTCGCGGCCCTCATATCCGTCCTGGCGTCTTGCTACGTGGTCACAAGGTTTTTTCAGAATCGATAGGCGCTTTTGCTCACCTGCACCGGTTACGCTCTGCAGATTCTTGCGCGACATTTCAGTACAGTTCAGTCTTCAGCAAACGCTGTCTCGAGTCCGGTGTACAGATTCCGTTCGCGCGACCGCGTGGGCATAGTGTGCAATTTTGAGTAACTTTGGTATCTTGTTAGTTACACTATCGACTGTGTCTTGACTGGGTTTTCACGTGTCTGGCAGAGGTACTACTGTGATGAAAAAGTCCGAATCCGAACTTTATTTTTAAAAATCAAAATTACAATTCAATCATGAAAATTCTTGACAGTCTCCTTCGAGGTGTAGTCCACATTGCTTGCAACGCACATATACCAGTTACTGGATCAACATCGCTCATACGCGGCAGACGCGGTATGGCCTTCAATTCACGCAGCGATTTTTCCTTCATGTCCTCGATCGATCCGAAACGCTGCCCGCGAAGTGGTTTTTTCAGTAGGGGGAACAGAAAAAAGTCGCAGGGGGCCATGCTCCTGGCGAATACGGTACTTGCGGAGCGACATTCGTTGAGTTTTTTGTCAGAAATTCACGCACAAGCGTCGAGGTGAATGCGATCAGGTGCGTTCAGGTTTTTCGGAATCAAGCGCGATGTTTCATGTCCGGTACATTGGACAAAATGTGCTGGCACGATCCAAATGATATTCCAACTTCATCTGCTATCTCTCGCACAGTCAATCGACGATTTTGGAGCACCAATTCTGTCACTTTCTCAATGCGAGCGTCATCCGTTGACGTCTCGATGGTCTTCCAGAGCGTGGGTCGTCTTCAACGGATTCTCGTCCTTCTTGAAACCTCTTAAACCGCTCAAACGTACTTGTTTTCGATAAACAATCATCGCCATAAGCTTCTTCTGCCATAACATTTTCAATGCGTTTGTGAACGAAATTTCGTCCGCAACACAAAATTTCAAACGAATTCTTTGCCCCATATTTTTCGACATCGTAAAATGTCGCCGTGCATAACAATCTTCACTGACATAAACAACTGCCACTTTCAAGCAGCTTGAAGGAACGCCATGATTCTTTCACCAAATGTGAAGGACATATGTGCCAACTTGAGAAAGCAAACGGATTTGATTTACAGTTTACCCGCGATTAAAAAAAAATAAAGTTCGGATATTACTTCGTAATTAAAGTATGAAACTACGAAATTATCTCTATTTCGACGATGTGTGTACTCGATGGGATGAATCGGAGGACGAATACGTCCTCTTTGTGCGTGCCGCGAAAGTTCGACGCGCCGTACACGCGTCGTCGAAATGAAGATAATTCGATGGATAAAACCGAGAGACGGAGATTTGTCAGGATAAGACGACAGGAATACAAAGGAGGTCCTCTGCGATTTCTACGGCGTAATAAAATAAGTAAAAGTAAGTCGCACGATGAAACATGTGACGCCACTGTAGCGAAAGGAGACGTCGATACGCGTTACCGCGACCGTTCCGTGCTGTCGCTAATTAGCGTTGGATATAATTAACGCTCGACGCAGATAAATCTGTTTGAAAGCAGCCTTGGCTGAAGCGGACCACCCTGTAATGTAACAGATCGTGAGTATCGAGGCCACGAGGCGAGCGTACGCGCTTATAGTAACCACCCACACGGCCGCAGGACTTGTTTTTCCCACGTGAAACGGCAAATCATTTCGAGATTTTCTCGAGCGGCAAATCCGCGATGAGACCTCCGCCGATTCTCACAATGGCCGAGCACGCGAGTCGACCGTGGATCCCGTTTACGGATACCCACGACTCCGCGTGAAAAGATCATATCGCGTATAAACAATCAATCTGTGTACGTGTCGTGCGTGCGTGTGTTTGTGCATAATATCTCTCTTGCACGTATCATTACGCCGATCTCGCCGATCGGTGTAGTATTCTAAATGTTACGCGCGCTCCGAAAAGAGAGACAGACAGACAGAGAGAGAGAGAGAGAGAGAGAGAGGAGAGAGAGAGAGAGGGAGAGGGAGAGAGAGAGAGAGGGAGAGAGAGAGATGGTGAAGACGAGAGATAAAAATCTTCGCTATGCATTTTACACACATGCCCGCACGCGTCACGTCGGTGTTTTTCTCCCTAGTTGCCTAATTGACAACATTCCTGCATTTCGGACCCACTCGCGTCGCGTTATCCGCCCACGAGATTTCTTTCTTTCCATCTTCTGCGAATGGGCCGATCACGCCCCGTCGCAGTAGTTTGTCAATGATGCACTAAAAACCACACAAGCCGCCCTCTTATCAGTCTACCTCCCGGCGAAGGGCTCGATCACCGGGTCTCCGCGTCCCGAAAGGCGTAGATAGCGGAAACACGAAGGCTCCACTCACCGCCTGCCCTCTAATCTTCGTCGTCCGAATGGTTAAGTGGGTTTTCGAGTTCGGGAATGTCCCGGTCCCGAGCAAGTCTCTTATACACCTCGGAGAGAACGCTAGTCGTTAGTTCCCTCCTTATTTTCTTTTTATCGTGACTCGAATGGGCCGTATAGCGCCGCGGCTTCCAGGATGCGCGACCACTTCTTCGCGTTTCACGCGAAGGCGATAAAGGCCGTAGGGACCGAAGGGCCCTTTTCGGGGCCTGATTCAGATTCTTACGTGCACGCGTATCGTGGAAATGTAACCGCGGCGTTTTTATAATCGCCAAATGCACCGGCGATGAGACAGAGGACCGATTTAAGAGCGGGCCATTAAAAGCAGAGGATAATTCGCTTATCCCAGATAGGTATTATTTTATACGATAGCGCACGACTATACATTACGATAGCCAGCGGGAGGAACTGTGCTGCCTCGGGTCGTAAATAACGGGCCGAAGGAGATGGCGGATATTGATCTTTTTTTCGCGAGAAAACGCGCGCGGGAAGAATCGATAAGCTGCCTTACATCAGTCGGTCGTTGTTGATCTCACGTCGAATATACACACACGGATATATTAAATCGAGTTTTATCTTTATTTTATTACGTTTATCTTTCCTTTCGCGCGAAGATTAATTCATTGGAAACAGAAAGAAAGAAAGGAAGAAAGAAAGAAAGAACAGAGAGTTATTTGCACGACGAGGATCCGATATTTTACGAAGTCGCATTAGGTAAACGATGGAACGTTGATGATGCGACATCAATATACGTTGAACGTCAACAGCGAACACCGCGAACACGGCCCCGCTGCTGTCTGCGGTTACATTCAAATGTAAATTCATTCGAGCCTACCAGAAATCTCAATGTCATTGTCCCGTCTGAGGCCGACTGAGAGGAAGAGAGGAGAGAAAGAGATATCGATCTCTCGGTCTATGATCCAATTGATCGTCGCGAACCTACGAGACCTCGGCTCGTAATTGATTCTTTCGACCATTGTGCCGCTAACGATCGTTTTAGTTCCACACGTTACGTGTCAAAGGATTGTTTCCCATCGCATCGTTCACGGTTCCTGATCCCCGTTGGACACATCCGAATAAGCCCGCAGGCTGTCGAGGTCCGGTTTTCAGCGAAGTCGAGTCCACAGCGCGATGCGCGTCGAATCGATTTTTGATTGCGATTTATACGCAGGAAGCGAATCAACGGCCACGGTACCGCGACGAATCCTCTTTCAAACCCTCGCGTGTCTATCTCTCGTGAGAAGTACTAGCAGCAAATTGCAAACACGCCCGTTTGAATAGCCGCGGACAAGGTAGAACTGTGCAAATTACACATCGGAATGAAATTAATTTAATTAATTTAATTAATTTCTCGTCGAAATTATGCACTACGCGACTAATTAAGTCGATCAATTTTCCACGTAATTTACACGATTGGGTCAATCAAATTGACGGAATAAGTTCTGATGTTCCGGTTAATCCGGTTGATAATTCGATTAACATTAAAGTAAAAGAGAAATTTTAATCGAAACGTTCCGTGTTGTAGGTTCCTAAGGAGCAATCGTTATACAATGGACAGTGTAAATTAATTGTGAACGCGATGCTGAGTCTTAATTACATTGTGATTCCGTGGGATAATTGTGGTCTTTCCTTCAACGGGAATCGAGTGAATGCAAATGAACGAATGCACATAGGTAAAGTATCACCGCGCGTATCGTGCACTGCGAAAAGGGAAATATCGCGGAGAATCGCGAACTTGTTGTTGATATTTACGAAGTTAAAAAGAGAGATATATATATATATATATTATAGAACTATGCGAACTACTCGAATTCGAATCGAATCGAATTACATTATATTCGATTCGATTCGAATCCGAATCCCTATAATTCGAATCCGAATAATTCGAATAGGAATCAAATACATTATCGTTTGCGTACATCAGCTACAAAACGAGCCATTTGAGCCTGTTTGAACCCTTAACTTGTAATTAACTTAACTTAAAATTAATAACTTAATTATAAATTATTTTAAATATTTAAATGCACAGTTAAAAACATTTCGTACTTTTGTTAAAATTATTTGTGTGTAGAAAGTTTCGTGTTGAATTTTTTACACAGTCGTGTGTTAATTTAACATATCGTTGTTGTGTTATCTAGACTTTCTTGTGTTAAATTAAGATTAACTATTTTCCAGTGTTAAAATGACATTTCCAAGTATTAAAATAACACAATTTATATGTAAATGAATGCATGAATTCCTGCTATGACATATTTTATATTTTATATATTGAAGTTAACATCTAAAATGTGTTACTTTCCTCATTATCCTCAGTATCATGTGTTAAATGTATAATGTTAACATTTCTGATATGTGAAGATTGGATGTTTAACACATAGATTATGTCAATCTAACATTTTCATTTCATTAAGTCATAGGTCACTACTTTTCCCAAATGTTGAAGTAACATTCATTGTATGTCAATTTAACACAAACTGTGATTCTTGACGGCATTCAAATGTTAAATTTTTATGTTAATTTTTTACATATTATGTGTGTTATTTTTTAACATATTTGCTATATGTTAAATTAACACATAAATGAGAGTGGATGATTTGAGACACATGAAATATGTTAAATTTAACATATAATTTCTTACAGTGTATATATTTTACTTTAAAATGATATTACAATATCAATATTCCCTTTCATATTAAAATCTTTCATCATTATTTGCATGTTTAATAGCCATATTAAATTTCTTAATGATTCGATTCGATTCGAATTCGAATGAAATTTCATAAATTCGATTCGATTCGAATTCGAATTTAAAAAATGAGATTCGATTCGATTCGACATAAAAATTCTCGCACATCTCTAATATATATATATATATATATTAGATTAATTTAATTATTATATATATATTATTATATATACATATATATTATTATATATATATTATTATATATTATATATACATATATATTATTATATATATATTATTATATATACATTAGATTAATTTAATTATTTTAATTATATAGTTAATTATAGTTAATTTAATAATTTTGAAATTTCCAAAGGTCGATAAGTTAAAGTTAGGGCACTATTATAAAAATATATTTTTGATAGCAAATAAAGTAAAAAAGTCTAATAGCATTTTTTCTTTCGACGAATAATTAGCGAGATATCGTAAATTAAATGTTGAAAAAGTTACCAAGGTTTCCTTAAATATTTCAAAAATATCAGGCAAATAAAAAAATGTTTGCAAAAAACAAAAGTTGTTAAAATTAATTGGTAAAAAAAAAGAAGATATAATAAAACATTGGGCTTTCTATTTTAAAAAATTAAGTTGACTTTCAACTGACCTTGAAAATGCCCTCCAAATAAAAAACTGACAATGCCATTCTCTTTCCCCTTCGAAATCATGGAACACGTGTTTTAATTTTTTTTTTAATAATATCTTTCATAGTTTTCGAGATTTTTACCTGTTACGTTTGAAATTTAGCACCCTGTATATATATATATATATATATATACACCTAACCACCATCGTGCGTGCGCGTTTCGCGTATAATGTCTTACTCGCGCGTTAGAATCACTCTTAAACACGCGTTCGCGGATATAATTCTCGCCTTGATCGTATGCCGCTGATCGACTAACGAACAGAAAATATAAATAGAAGCCGGCCGTGCGGGAGATAACTGCCGCCGACAGGCTGGCCGGCCGGCCGGCCGGCCGGCCGAGTCTGCATTAAAGCGATTTTTTGTTAAGTTCGTCGGATAGCTTTCAAGTTCCAGCAGTAGCGCCGGCACCGACGGCTGTCGGCTCTCGCGAGCTACTGCGAGCTACGATTCAATATCGTGCACGCTAATATTATTCTAAACGAACACATTGAACTTAACCCGCGTGCAACACATGCCCATCGATTCGCCTGGCGCTCGCGATACGATCGATCGCGTAGATTTCGATCCGAAGATTGCCAAGTCGCGCGCCGCGGAGTCGTTAAGACCACCGAATCCGCTAGTTACAATCCGGTCCGCACGCGCGAGAGGAGAGGAGGGGCCCCGCTCGTCCTAAATTATGCGTGCCGCCGCATATAACGAGACCTCGCTTATCTTTATTTAGGAATTACTGGATACCGCGGGGGAGGTCCCAGAAGAGCCACGTCAGCCATGTGATGGACGAGTCGGGATGCAAGAGCGTGTTTGACGAAGCTTCCTGAGGGGGAGAGCGAACGGCGCGCAGGCCATCCTTTGTTCTACACATCGTATGACTAACGGCGGTTAAACCGAGCGGCCTGAATTTTCGGCTGCTATTGAAACGAGGGGCCCTCGAGGGGCCGGCCGCTGGCCCTGCCAGGTGCTCCGGCCCCGAACGTTTGCGTTTCGATGTAATTAGTCATTCACCAGGTTGCCGAGCACACACACGTATGCGCGGTACGTACAAATGCGACTAGTAACGCCGGACGAATAACGTACGCGCAGCGTCATCGTGGCGGAAGAATTTCATCCAACCTGAACAAATCGACGGGAATATAAATCGAAGGAAGCGTTAATGCGAAGAATTTCCTACGCCCTACGCGCGGAAATTGCACACGTTTTTCGACGATTCTCACGTGCCGACGTACACGCAAATCAGGCGGGGATAATTAATTAATCGGGTGTGCGTAGAAAACAAATCTTTGTTGACTAACATGAGGTTTCTCGTGGTCTCTCACGGTGGGGCGAACGAAAGTAAAATCTAATCCGAGCTGTACACAGAAAATTTTGCATTTTGTATCTACTAATTCAAATACATATATATATAATATATGTACGAAAGATGCGTTCGCACGAGAGCGGAATCCTACTAAACGGACGCGAAAACGAGAGACGGCACATGCCGTCGTGGCGATACGCTCGCCTTCGACGATTTTGCGCGCGCTAATCGACGTGTGTGAAGTTGGCCCCGCACTTTTCGAATTTTGACTTTTTCTTTATTGCGCGGTATTGTGCTATGTTTGTGCTGACTTTTGCCGCAAACGCGAGGCCGATAACTTCAATAACATTTGAGAAAAAAAATAAAAACGAAAACTTGCCAACCCCGCACTTTTGTGCGAACGAACTCAATTTTTGTTCGCGAATTCCTACTAATTTGTGCCGCATTGTGCCGTTTGAAGATATCTCCTTTCGTTCAGTAGAAAAAACGTTAAAATTAAAATACAAATTAACAAATAATTTTTCTCTACAATGCATTTATCGCAAATCTGCAAGTTGTGTTGAATTATGCTAATCGAGTACAATAAGCCTAACCACTTGGAGATGTGTCGAAAACTACTCAGATTACAAAAAGAATTTGCAAAAATTTGGGACGCAAAAAAGTCGCAATTTCAAAAGTTGTCAGCACAAATCGTAGCAGAAACACAGCACAAAACGGCACAATGAAGAAAAAGTCAAAATTCGAAAAGTGCGGGGCTGCGAAAAAAATTTTGTTTCTCCTAATTTTCTCGAGTACGCTTCGAGTTACAGAGTTGCGGAGTGCGGAGTTGCACAAACGCAGCACAATTCGAGAAAAAAGATCAGAATTCGAAAGATGCGGGGTCAACTTCACGCACGTGCTAAATCGTATGTTTACCCTCGAGCTCTTTCGTGTAACGAGCAGATGTATCGCCGCAATGAGAACAAGTCGAAGCGGGGCCGCGCCGCTATCGCGCACCAAAGGCGACGGAACGGATAGTTAATTGCCTAAAGCCCGTGTCACACTACGGATTGAGGATCAAGGATTGCGAATTGAAGATTAGATTTCGACAAATCAACGAACTTCGCTTTTGATTTGCTTTATTCCGATTGGTCAAATATCAATCTTCAATCCGCAATCCTTGATCTTCAATCCGTAGTGTGACACGGGCTTAACGCTCGGCCGAAGGCGAAACGTCTAAACAACGACGCGCTATTTAAAGCCCTGTATTTAGACTAAGCGCGGGACAATAATAAGAGGCACGCGCATCGTGGCGGAGGAGGAGATCCCGTGTTACCAGGATGGCCATCGACAGGAACAAGCAGGAGGCGAAGACGCGACACGATGCACCTCGCCTCGCCTCGCCTCGCCTCGTCGCGTCGCGTCGCGACGCGTCGTCGTCGCGTCACTTTGGCTGGTGGCGTCCCGCCGCAGGACTCAGGCGCCACCGTTCCCTCTCCCCCCCCGCCCCGTTCCGTTCCGCTGTTCTCACCGACTCGTCGCCGACAAACGGCACCCACACCACCGTCTCGCCGTAACTGGCACACGCGCGCCTTGCGAGAGCCGCTCCGACCGATCGCTCCGGACGCGTACTAAGTCGTTAATGTAAGTGGCACACCGCCGTTCTTTGGAAAATTAACCGCGAGCCTCGCGCTCCGCTTCGTCATTTTGCGCTGGCTGCACGTGTAACCTGTAACCTTCGGCAGAATCGTGTCGTTATCGTTACATTGTCGTTGTCGCGGGGAGACAATGTATGATGGAAGACGCGCTACGACGACATTACAATAGCGACCATTGTCGGCGAGAGTTACGGAACGGGTCTGTCGATAACCCACGGACTTATCCTTCCTTCCTGCGTCTCTTTTGTTTCCGAAAATCGCCCGCCTCCGTTCCGTGCCTCCCGCAGATGGCTGCTAAATGACGCGAACATCATTCTATCTTTGTTCTGTATTCGACGAGGAACGAGGACACAAGACGCCGGTTCGTGTCGCCAAATGGGAAGCGCTCCGTACGAGATTGATTCGCGAGTAATCGAAAGCGGACGAGAGCCGTCTCTAACCTCTTCAGCGGAGGTCGCTTTAATTTCTGCCAGCAGGATTTCAATCCTGGAGCGCCCGTAACGGCCAGAGCACAGACTTCTGCATAAACGCATAAGAGAATCAACCAATCAGAGTTCTTCATTTCTGTCCTTTTCGGAAGAAGGAGGGAAATGAAGAAAACACCAATTGGTTGATTCTCTTATGCGTTATGTATTACGCGTTATGCAAAAGCCCGTGCTCTTGCCCTTACTGTCATTGTTTTACGTGTACCACGTTTTAAAGAGCGAAGACAATTACCTTGCGTCCGTGCGCGACGAAGAAGAGAGGATCGCAACGCGGCGAGGGTGCGCGGAATCGCGCCGCGCGCACCACGGCGCCGCGGCAGGCGGCTCCGGTTTAAAAAGTATCCGAGGCGAGTGTTCTCGAGAGCGGGTGCCGCGGGGCGGGCGGATGCGTGCGAGTCGACTGGCGGCGACGGCGACGGCGACGGCGGCGGCGGCGGCGACGGCGGCGGCGGCGGCGACGGCCGGCGCGACACAGTGAGTCAGTCAGTCAGCCGTCGGACAGCGTCGAGGTTAGGTGCGTCGCGGTGTGCGGACGTTCCTTCTGGTGCACTCCGCGTGTCTCTCTCTTCGTCCGTATCTTCGTTTTCTCCGGCGTGCGCGATCTTGCGTTATGCCCACTGCGATCATCGTCGCGAGAACGAGCCAGCGATCGCCGATGCGATAATAACAAACCGCGGTCGCGGTCCGTATCGACGAGGATGTCCTAATAAATCTTCGGGACACATGCTCGATCTTCCGAAAAGCATCGTTCAAACGACGACGACGACGACGACGAAGAAGAAGACGCCAGACACTTCCTCGGGACTCTCCCTCTCGTCGTAGCGACTGCGACTGCCGTGATGTTGCCGCGCGACCTGGTGACTGTCGCGACGGTGGTGACGAGCCTCGCCGTCGTCGTCGTCGTCGTCGACGGCGCGCCGCTCGCGAATCTGGACCCGGAGGATTACGAGGTGCTCGCCGATGACGAGACGAAATCCGCCGATAACGGTAACGTATCTCCTCGGCTTGCTCGCCGCTTGTGTTACGCGCTCGCATGCCGCGATCGCGCTAATTTCGCGGGAGATGAATGCGCGACATGTCGCGCGAGCGAGTCGCCAAAGCGAAACGAAGGAGAGGAGAGACGAGACGAGGCAAAATGAGATGAGATGAGATGAGACGAGACAAGACAAGAACGCGACACCGGACGGTCGCCAGAAAACCATGACACGTTGTCCTCGGGCGAGTTTCTGTGTCTCAACCTCGCGGGCTTTATTGCTGAACCGTTGCCGCCGCCGCCGCCGTCGTCGTCTCTCTCGGTGCACGTTTCCTCGACATTCTAATCGGACCGCGTATCGCGGACCGGGATCTTCGATTCGCGATTTCACTCGCACGGGTCGCCGGCTGAGTCGTTCGCGAAGAACCGTGCGAGAGTAATAACCTGCTTTCGCGATTGCGCGATTGTATCGCCGCTTCGATATGATAATGCGGGACGTGTTTTTCAGACCTTTCGCTCGCGTAAAATTCTATCGTATCTCTTTTCCTTTCTTTTTTTTCCCGTCAACGCGGCGGGCGGCGTTGCGAGTTTCCCGGCATGGAAACCTCGGCTGAGTGGATTTATACCGATGACAAATCAAAACACGTTCGATCCCTTTGAATATGATCCGTTCGCTAATCGCGGACGCGATTGTCTCCCTCCCTCCCTCTCTCTCTCTCTCTCTCTCTGTCTCTGTCTATCTGTCTCTGTCTGTTTCACACACACTCCGCGATGGCAGATCGACTTTCGTGAATTGTTTTAACACACTTGTGTATGAGAGCATTCTATCGCTCTCAGACTGTGTTACTAGCGAAGGTGAGATACTCTTGCGTGCAAATGATCGCAGGAAACACGGCCCGCGCACGTGCTCTCGGCACGCTTGTTTTGCTAATTCTCTCGCGAGTTTAGCAATTTGTATCTTCTCAAGGATGGCTGTCGTATTAATTCGATCGCATGTTTGTAGTACGAGAATAGTAACGTTGGGGTTAGAAACGTTGGGGAATTGTATCACAAGGTTTCCCGGAAGCCAGCGGATTCGTCAAAAATTTCGCCAGCAATTTATCCAAAGACGATCGCTCGACCGACACGTTCACGAGACGAGTTACTTGCAATTTCTCGCAAATATTTGCAGTCGTGAGGCGCTAACGCGTTGAAATGATTTATTAGAGAAGTTTCATCCAAAACACGCGATGAACCTTTCTACAGCTATTCTTCCATCGAAGATGATGATGAAAAAAAAAAGTTCTATCTCTTTTCCTCCTTTTACGTACGTATTTATCATTTTTATTAAAATAGAGGAAAATATAAACTTTGTTCCCGCTCCCCCTCCCCCCGCCGTCTGAAGATGTAAATTTGGGAGCCGACGTAATATCCCGCAGAGTGAGAAAGAGAAAGAGCGGGAGACCCACGTTCTGCTGCTGCTCGGCGCCAAGAAGCTCGCTGAAACGCCTTGGTTGCAAACAGAAAAAAAGAAACAAAGGCTATTACGCGATAGTGTAAACTACCTCGAAAGGGGGTCGATCGACGTTCGTGGAATGCTCAACGCGAGAAATAAAATCGTTTATTGCGGCCGAACGAGCGAGGAGCCGTGTAGGGCGAACGCTCGCATCGTGCGACGCACAAGTGATTCACGATCGATCGATAGATTTACATTCACGAACGGCGCCTGCTCTAACATCAATGTTGACCAGTGCGCTACTTCTCCCTTCTCTAACGATATGACTGGTAATAGGAAGAGAACAGAGCCGACGGCGATGATGATAAAAAAGAAAAAAAAGAATCGGTACGCGCGCGCGCGCGCGCGCGAGAGAGAGAGAGAGAGAGAGAGAGAGAGAGAGATAGAGAGAGAGAGAGAGTGGATAGAAAGAAGACGGAGAAATAAGTTTCTTCCTGTCTGTCGGATAAGAGAGAAAGAAACTCCTTACTTTGGAATTTCAATAACTTAATTTCATGCACGGCAAATTCATTCGGTCGCATCACCACGTTTAATTCTGATTTGTTTTAACTTGTTCAGCAACAATGACACATGTGTGCGTTTGTGGATAATGTAGTTAGACAGTACATTTTTATTCAAACAAAACCGTCAGCGAGAATGCAACGAACGTGACTGTGGCTAATTATATTCAACACACCGAAGTTTGCAGGAGGAAAAGAGAAACGTCGTCGAGTGATTGACGGGTGTCACTTAGAAGTGAAATTACATTTCCGAGCTCAATAAATCCCCTCTGCCGAGGAGGTTGATAGCCGTTGCGACTTTTCGAAAACGTCACACGTGTTAACCGCGTGTGCACTGCATCTCGCCGCGATGTGCTGTTTTTTAGCGTCGTCGTCGTCGTCGTCGTCGCCGCCGGCGGCGGCGAAATTTATTATTTTTCACGTACGCGCCAAGAGAGCGGCGCATCTCTTCCGTCCCTAGTTTTCTCCGAGTTATTCACGCAGTACTGCGTATATACGCGTGTGCGCGTTCGCACGCAATAAACGCAGAGACAAAGGCGTACGGCGGCGGCGCGCGCGGTGCGCGAAATAATAAATATCGAAGAAATTTTGTCGCTCCGCGGCGATAGCGAGTTTAGAGAAAGACGATAAAGTATACGTCGGGCGCCAGCTAGACGCGTGGATAGCGGGGAGTACATAGTGCGCGCTTACCTATATACTCCGTTATAGTATGTGCGTGCGTGCGTGTGTGTATGTGTGTGTGTGTGTGTGCGTGCATATGTCCGCCGACACGCTTGTTGCACGTCCGCGTACACACCGTGCTCGCGTTAGCGAGCGTCTCTCTCTCTCTCTCTCTCTCTCTCTCTCTCTCTCTCTCTCTCTCTCTCTCTCTCTCTCTCTCTCTCGCTCGCTCGCGCTCGCTTTTCCTCGCCGGATAATCTGTGAAAACCGAGCGAGCGCGCTCGTGAATACGCTCCAACATAATAGACGTCGAACGGTGGCTCGAAGGTGTGATCGCGCGATGGGCAAACGGCGCTACGAATAAATCACTCGATACTAAACAGGTCCGATTATCGCGGTGACAAACCGCGAGCGCGGGGTATACGTGATCGCGCAGCATATTCCTCGGGAATAACACGTGCTCTCTTGCAAGCTGCGCTTATCGCGGCGATATCGTCGCGGCTCGGACTCGCCAGTCCTTTTCAGACTGGAGTAATATTCGATCGGTTTAATTGACTGTTTACGCGAAGATACGCGTCCGCTCTTAGCCGTGGTGTATTTAAACAAGTCGGGACAGAGAGGAGAGACAAGGAGAGGGAAAGAGAAAGAGAGAGAAAGAGAGAGAGAGAGAGAGACGACCGTCGACGTTCCGCGGAATCGTTTCGTCGGTTGTTTATAGTTTCTCGGCTGCATTTCACATCTTCGATAAACTCAACGAGCTCGATATCGCGGGGTCGTTAATCCGTATGCGTTCGACGAATCGCTCGTTAATCTATTCGCATATAGTATAATAACGGCGCTCCTGATACAAAGACCTCGTCTCGTAGTCGTTTCTTTAGCACGCGCGCCCGAGTCTCGTCTCGTCTGATCGTTCGACTAATTAATTTCGACCCGCGATCCCAGTGTCGCTAATGAACGCGTCGAGTCGTTCGACATATAATTCACCTCTGGATCTCTCCTCGACGGAGAATATAATTACGAGCGACGAAACATAGTCACGTTAGAGGATGAATTCATCGGCAGGACACCGTTTTCAGATGATCAGTCGAAAGTGCTGCTTTATTATCGAGGCTTCGATCTGCCGTGTTACTCATCGCGCCGCCGCCGCCGCCGCTGTCGTCGTCGTCGTCGTCGTCGTCGTTGTCGTCGTCGTCGTCGTCGTCGTCGTCGTCGTCGTCGTCGTGGAGCCACCGTTGTCTTCGAGTGGCGCGACGACGACGAAAAATGCGAGCTCATCGACGCCACGAAGAGCGGAACGTATGCACGCACACGCCCGGTTTATCACTTGCACACACATACACATGCATGCACACGCACACGCACACGCCATGCCTGGTAAGTGCCGCGGCGCGGCTACAGCTGGCGCATGGCGTTAAGCGCGCTACGCACGCACACACCGTCACCCAGTGGCGCCTGTCGGCCACACGGATGTGCATGCGTGCGTGACGAGTTTCTACCTCTCTTCGTCTACATGTATATATGTTCGTACGTACATAAAGTAGTCCGCGTGACGGTACCGCACGTATGCGTTGTGCGTCGTGAAAAAGAGAAAAAAATTACCGCCGACGACGATGACGAGATCTGCGGCTTCTTCCCCTCCTCCCCCCCCCTCTCTCTCTCTGTCTCTCTTTCTCGTCTTCTCACTTCGCAAAACTCGCTCAATTCGGGACCGGTTAATTGGAACGGCGAAATCTCACGGCGGAGGGATACGTCGTCGTCGCTTCGGGTGATCGACCGAGGAAAATCGCTAACGGCCGAGATAACACAGTCGCGCTTTCGCTGGAGATTGCAATCGTCATCCGGGTGTTGTGCAAAGACCGAGCCGGGCGCGAGCCGATAACCATGACGACGACTCGATGCGCTCTCTCTCTCTCTCTCTCTCTTTCTCTCGCGATCCGCGATTGATGCGTAGTAGACGCGATCGTAGATGCGGTAGATTGTAGATTCTCCGCGTTTAACGGAGACTTTCTGCGTTTTAGCGGAGACTCGCCGCGTCTCACGATAAGCAAGCAGTCCACCTTTGACTGGCGAAATAGTGAAATTTACGTGCGGCCGCTGCCGCGCACGTGTTGCCGGCGAGTGACAGGCGTTCTCCACTGTGGGACGCGCGCTAATTCATGTAATCCCGATCTCGCTCGCCACTTGTTTACGATTCAGTGCCATTTCCTATGCGGTCGAGTCGCACAGTAATTACATAAACTCGCCGGCGCGGCATAACTGCACGCGACTTACGCGAGACCGCCGCAGTCTACGCGGGGCCGTTGCATTTAACCGGCCTAGAATTTCCGATACCGCTACTGTCGCTTTCCGGCGCCCTCGA